CACACGATGTGAACATTCAAGGAGGGGCCTTCTCTTTTGGTCCTGCGGATCCACCCGATGCGCCAATTCTTGCCGCGCGGCCACACCGGGTCGCTCTACCCAAGGGGATGGCCCAGGCCACTCGTCGGGTGCCGGCGGAACCGCACTGCCACCCCCGGAAAAAGGTGAACGATAAAACTTGCCCTCCCGGCGGTGTTCGATCCCGCGAGCAGCCTCCGCAGGCGGATCCCACAGTGCGCCATTCACGCCGCGCGGCCACGCCCGGGCGCTCCACCCAGGGGGATGGCCCAGGCCACTCGCCAGGGGCTGGCCAGTGAGCGCATCCCCGAAAGAGAACAAGGCAAACTGAAAAGTTGCCCCCCACGCGGGGTCCGATCCCCCGCCGCTGGACCGATGGATCCCCCGATCGTGCCACAGTGTGTGCAGTGCTGCGCGACCAGATGTTTTCACACCTACCTCAGTTTCCTGCCGAGTTGTGGGTCGTGACGGGCCGTTCCACACCCACAGCTCCCGTCGGCTGTATCTTGGGCAGCCCAGCTGTCCAGCCGCGCCTCAATCAGCGGGTGCACCCCACCGGCCGATTGCCGCTCCCGTTCGAATCTGCCCCGGAATCAGCTCCAACCCGCGCCTCTGCTTGCGCCGGGGCGTCGCTGGGATTCTTGGGAACCGTCCCAGCGCCGGGGACACGCAGAACGTTTCGAGGATGACCGCTTTGTGGACCCCCTGCTGGGGTCGCAGGCCGCACACACGCAGGAGACTGGTGGCAGGTCGGTTGCAGCCGAAACTTGAAACTTGGCATGCAGCTTCTTGAGGCCACTCCAAGCCCACCCGACACGATGGGCAGCAGACAAACGAAGTTAATATTTTGCGCACTGCGATCGCACAGCGTGACGCGATCGCCCCCTTGCGGTCACATTTCGCCCATCAGCCCCTGATTAGGCGATGTGACAGCCCCCCCCCCCCGAGAATATATTACTCCCCGTTCTTGTTTGCTGAATTTCGGTTCTTGTTCCGCTGACAAGGCCAGTCCCGGTGCGTGGATCAGTAGTTGGGCTTTAGGGTGTCCGAAAACAAGAACCGAAATTCAGCAAACAAGAACTTTAACCCCCGGGTGATGATGTGACAGCTGGTCTGTGTACTCATGCAATCCTACGCTTACTAAAGCTATCGCATGTTAGAATATTGGAGGACATGTGAACTTGCGATCGCACCCTTGGTGCGGAGCGCGCCAGGGGTCACATCAGTACAATGACCATGTGATCGCAGCTTGCAATACAACCACGGTACGGTAACAAAACGGTGACTTTACTATTGCTATGTTACCACGGATCCGTGAAGCGTAATAGATGCAGGTCCAACCGTCCATGTACACTTTGTTCTTGGCATCAGGCAACCGACCGACAGTTTCAATGTGCATGGCTTCCTGCCAAATTCTTCTCATCTGAAACGGGAAGAAAAGATAGTTTTGTTAGTGCCGCAGAAACAATGGATCAATCCATGGAAGCAATTTAAATTGCTTCCTACGTGAAGGCAGCTGCGGGGCAAAACACCCTTTGGTGCTACGTTGGTCGTGGCCAACTTCAAAGTTTGAAGTTCATCATCTCCGTTGGAACTCCTCTCTGTTGGCTGATAGGTGGCCGGGTTACGTTATTGTTGTCCTTTCCTGGACACTGGCTGGGGCCCTGTCGCCCGTCGTGCGTTTTCTGATGCCCTGGCTAGCCGTAGTTGGTGTTGGCGCGTTGTCCTGCCGGTGTGAGAGCCTCCCGCTGGTGTGGTACATCGGAGTTCTAAGCCCATTGCGGGCTATCTCTGGGCCTCTCGGGGCGCTAGTATAATGGAATGAGGGCGCGATGCGTGACGCTCATTGTATCAATAACGAGGTGGCATTATGGCGAACCGAACAAAGAAAGAAAACAAAATAAGTAAAAGCTTGCAAAGTCAGAAAGAAAGGCGACAATTCGAATCGGTCGGGTTGCTCGAGATCCGTCCGTTCAAGAACGTCGACTGACAGCACAGGAAAATGCCACAAAGAAGTGCTTGTCTCTATCAATAGAGAACAGCTGTTGTTTGGCCAACGCTCAAAAGCAATGCAAATGTGATCCCCCTCCCACAACTACGATGGATGAGCCCTCCGAGAAATTGGCGAGAGATTGGATGCCCACGCGGCATGCTGCGGCCATTTAGGACATTTGGCGATGTGAAAGTGTCTGCGTCTGCGCAGACCCTTTTAGCAACCGAGTAACGTCACGCGAGTCTGTTCTGTCGGACGTCTCTTTCGCTGAACATATTTCAGCGGGCGTGCTCCAGCTGGTGGTTGCCAAACCGTTGCATTATGCACATTCAACGACAACGACAAGCTATCTATTCCACCTTCAAGATCTCCAACCTATATCCCCATGCGCAAAACACGCCATTCATATAGCGAGAACGCTGTCATTTCGCTCGGAATATCTGAACATTTGCATCAATGTGACGAGAGCATTGACCACACCTCACGAATTCAAGTCGTTTCACTGTTCGCACCACGACAATTGATCAATTGATCATGATCTCCCTCAGTTGTGCTCACAATATGCGTATCCATCACATTCCATGCATCAGTCCGCATTTTTCTTGTGCCAATCGCCCGTGACCTGCATGTGATCCCCCTTTACCTGGTACCTCGGAGCTGCGAGACCACGATCGTGGAATCCACGATCGAATCGAATAATATTGATGTAATTCGGAATTTTGCAACTTAAAATATTCCGTTTCTTGAGTCTCAAGGCCTGCGGACCATTTCCTACAGAACCGATGTTTCGAATTCGAAAGATTCAAATTAGAGTTTAAAATGTCCGCTTTCAATACGGCGGCTAATTTGCTAACACGGTGCACAACATCATGACACACTCGTGGTGGGATCACATTGGGCGGCACCGCCCGACTCCCGTTGGCGCAAAACGGCACCACAGAATGACCTGTATTATGATTCGATTCAGTATATACTGAATATAGTGCCACCTCCAAGAGATTGGAGGTGACACTAAGTCGACCTTTTCACACTGATCGTCGAAAAGTGATGCTAAGAGAGGCGAAGGGGTGATGGGGAGCGCAACGTTCAAGCGAAGCCATGCGCAGCAATACCGACATGACATGACCCCTTAACACTGCTGACGTTCCCAGCACACGATTTTCAACAACTGGGGAGGGCTTGGGTGTGGAACGCAGTAATTACAAATGTCGGTTTCCGGCTTCCATAATGGACCGTCAGGACGCCAAACCATTTTCAACTTCGCCTGCGCCCCGGCCCCACAGCTCCCGCCAAACCCTCCCCCCCCCACCCACACACACACAGCAGGTGACCGCAGCACACGCGGCGGTACGCTTTTCCCCTCCATCCCTCAGCTGTCGCCCCGAATAGCTGAATCGATACCCGCATCAGCCCAGCGGCCGGCTGTGCATCCGCTCCCCAATGCCTTACACCCCTCCCCGTGCCACCCTGGAGTTTGAAAGCGGCTGCGACTTCGCCGATTTCGTGAGCATACCCGCGCCGCTCGCAGCCGTAGCGAAGTGCGGCCTGCCGAGGGGTGACGGCACGGATCGATGCTCTGGGGCCGGGGAAGGGCCCGAGAGGCGGCGGGCGTGCCGGGCAGCGTGCGTGGCAATCAACCAAGCCCGGCCCGGAGGCGCCTGCGTGGCCGTGGCGCGAGACGGCGGGGAGGGCGTCAGTGTCGTCTGTCGGAGGGTGAATCCGGGCGGATTCATGCAAATCCATTTCGCGCCCACGGGCGCGGCGGTCGCGACGCGTGTGCGTCGATCTTGGGGCTGCGCATTGGCAAATTGTGCCCCGTTCTCGCGAACTCGATGCTCAAATCCTTTGATTACATTTGTCACATGAACATGACAAAACACTGCCCTTGCACCTTAGAGGCGATGTTGGGCATGAAATCCATACCGAGCTCGATGCATGTTTCGAAATTCCAACGTGCTGCGCCTAACGAAAACACGTTCAATCAATATCTTCAGTATTCTGCAGATAGTGTATCAGTGGCGTGGTATGTTTCCAGCTGAGCGCCGTAATGTACCGAATTGCGAAATAGCTGTCGGGTGTTTAGAAGACCTCTTGCCGCTGTCGCCAGCGGTGATCTTGGATCTTGGGGTAACTGCGGTAATTGAGGTACTGGACATGTCGTCCTACGACACTATATGCTTCACATCACTAGGAAAAAAGGGCCAAATAACACGTGTTCAAACGTGCACAAAGTTTACGGGTTTGGGTTATTTTTGTGTTCTTAGCGTGCAGAACTTTGATGAAATGTGTTTTGTGTGTATTCGTAAAAGTGTTATTTCGTCCTTTTTTCGTTAGTGTATATGGTGAATGAATCATCACTGATAATCAACAATGATTGAATCATCAGTTAATCTCAACAAAGCGATGGGTGAATTCACTCTATATAGAGTAAACGTAAACGTATATGCTGCTCTTAGAGGAATGCAGAAGGATACCAGGTCGACACCATTCAGGCTCTTGCGACATGCTCGAACAGATGGGAACATTTGTCGTCCTGATTAACGCCATCTGCGCCCATGATGTGCAGTGTGACCATCGAGCTCTTCGAAGGGATTTCTCAATTCCCTACCCTACTTGTTCGTTAATACCACAACCCACTAAATACTATCCTACCTAATACCCAGCTCAACACCAACCCCCGACGTAACAAAATTATTATATTTTGGCTCTAAAACAAAAACCTTTTGCTACCACATGCAGGCGCTTATTGTTTCTTCTCCTTGGCAAAACTTCGGAGTGAAAGGAGCTTGACTGTAACCAGGGAGGCCACATGTGAATGGCGGTGATTGAGTACATTTATTCCAATCGCCTGACCACATTTTATCCGAATTCGCAAATGAGTTCCATTTCAAATAAAAGGCAGTTGTGGCCATAATTCCATCCAAAATCTTTGCTATCCGTAATTTTCGTTCCCAGAGAGTGAAATGGAGGTAGGGTTCATCGTCACTGCATGCAGGCCGTGTCTTCCCAAGTCATCACCGCGCTCGTGTCTCAGGAGTCCAATCTAGGCATCAGAATCCAAGAGCCAGCGAAAGGTACGATCAGATATGCCATATGTGCCAGTTTTAAAACTTCGCAATTTCGATACGCGAGACACGTCGAAGAACCCTGGCTTGATTAATGTAAGTCGCCCGGCGAGTGGTTAACATTTACATAGGGTATTATGGTACTATATATAGACCGGTGCTTAGTTCAGTTGTGGGGAACAAAACCCCCAGAATACTCGTCTAGAATTACTAATGGTCAATGGCTGTTCTGCGATTAGGCCAGTGTCGTGTGACTGTGGAATTCTTCGCAATCCACCAATGCACAAGAATCGCACGCAAATGAGTGGCGAACCATGCGCCAAAGCTAAATGTAAGAACACAATCGATCGCGTTGCTGTGGCCGGTGCCTGGCGATATCGTAACCTTGCGTGGGTACAATTACTCAGCAGCAAAATGTCAGCCCCTCCCCACGGCGTCCCTCGCCGAGATCCAGAGGGCAGCGGCAGCTGCGGTTGCCGTGTGCTTGAGCGACGCCGGGTGGCGGCCGCTGGGGGATGGCCGCATGCTGAGGGGCGACTTCCTGGCGACACCTCCCGGACGCCTCGTGGAAACAATGTCCATCCTCGTGGAGGCCAGCGTCACGCCCCCTCGCACGATACACCTGGATTTGGTGCCAGGTGCCTCCCAAAATGGATCAACGAATTCGCCCTGATTAGAGAACAACAGTCGTCTATAAGAGCTGCATGCGCTTGCGAAGGAAACATTGAAGTCTTTATAAAATGACGGCAAAAGTGTCTACTGTGGAGCGAGGGACTGGATATGCATAAATAAGATATTTTGCAAGTGATATCCAATTTAGAGTATCGATTCCGTTTCTGAAGCATCCGGGAATTGATGTATGGCTTTTAAATTGCATGGCATCACTGTTGCCGTTGGCGTATGAATGGCGAAATGGCGATGATCATTGAATCTTTAGTGTTTCTGCAGCCGAATTTGTGCTGAAAGGATACAATACAGAAATGTAGGGCGTGAGTTCGTTGTATAGTCCATTTCAGCTCCTGTGAACACGCATCGGTTAAAGTGGCTGACCCACTGAGGGAGACACCAATTTCTACTATTGAATGAAATCAGCGAATCGCTTCAGTAAGAGAGTGTTTCCCTCAAATAAATGATACGAGAATTGAGGCCAGCCTTATCCAAAATTTGAGTCAAGGAAGATCGATCATCAGTGATTATTAAATTGACGATAAGAAACTTCTGCGTAATTTTGCCTATAATGTATTTCGGGACTGCATACTAATGGCAATTTGCAAGTGCGATGAGCAATATTGCCAAATCAGCCGATATAGAAGTACTACAGATTACCCAACAATCAATCATTGGAATAAGTAGGGTGGATAATAAAAAAACCCATCATGAGCATGATGTTCAAAGTAGCGCTGCTAAAAGCAGTGCTAGCAGTGTTCATATGATATGCATTTAGAATGCATTCAAATGCACCGCGGCTTTAATGATTAGGTCAAGGACTCGATGTAAACATTGGAAATTTAGTCTCGAATATATTTTCCATCGCCTTATGGAAGATTTTAAATCAGGGAGGGGCTCTGTGCTGCAATCGCCCGGAAAACCATTACCATCATCTATCGCCATTCTCTGACCCACTGCAAGGTTACTATTGGATAAGATCAGGAAACGCGAAATCCTCAGCCCAAATAAAAATGACATATCCCTCTGAACGATGATATGGAGTAGACAGATAAGTGCAAGCAAAAGTGATTTGGCAATTTTAGAGTAAGCTGTTTCGCGCATTTTGCTTGACTCCCAGAGGTGGTCCGCTTCAGAGCCCTCTCTCCTGATATCGGTGAGCAAAAGGACCATGGAGCAGGAGAGGAGGTCGGCAAAGTCGCCGCGGGCCCGACTCACATCAAGACAGTCCCGGCTCATCTTCCTTGCCGGCTACTGCCGGGGCTGACGTGAGATCTGTCGTCCTGCGATTTTCTCCATGGAATTGCGTGTTTGCACTTACGTCAAGATATGTGCTGAATATTCGGGGTACATGTATTGCACGAGGGTTCTGTTTCCAAGTTGTTTTTAAAAACTCTACAAATGAAATCGAACGCTAATGTTGGCGACCGCCCGCAACGTTGCGCGCGAGAACAAAATAACGCCTACCAACCACAATTGGTCCTGGAATAAGGACAGATAAGGATCAAGGCTTTCCAAGAGCGCGGTAGTATGACTTTTATTACTAATTAGCTGCTGTGTCAAAGTTGCTAGCCGTATCGCAGTATTAGCTACGAGTTTCTACCACCTTCGCTCACTGTATAGTATGCTACACCAGGCGACTTGATAATATCCTTTATAGCATAATTTTCTTTAAAAGAATCTTTTTAATAGCAAATACAACGGTGCGGATGGTGCAACTCATGTATGGAATGGCTGCACCAAGGCAATAATGGTCTGATTTGGTAGCATTTGATGTATTGGACATTTGTTGCATTCTATAGCCATTTAATACTCCACCAAAAAAACAAGTCCATTGCCTTTTTATGTTATAATCGTTGCTTTCAAATTTTACATGTGTTTCGACTCTCACCAGTTCATGGATATACCAATTCTCTCATTTCCAGTAATGCAATGATGCAGATTTCATCTACCAATTCTATTAGCATTTGTGCGCCTACTCACACTTTTTTGTTCTTGTCCAGCCCCTGCGTGCTCCGCGGCTTCCGAGCTTCATGCAGTGAAGATCGCGCCATGAGAACGGATTGGTCTCAAATAATGAGCCAGTCTCTTCCAGAAAATATTCATTTCACGTTTAGCGTGTCGTTTGGCAGGTGCGTGTTGGAACAATTCCAATTAATTTACTGTATTCTTCGCGCATTGAAAAGAGCTCAAGCCAAATTTCTCCCTGTCATTATGGTGCACAATCAGTACCTATAATTGCAATGGCGCTGTACTTAGTGTGCTGTTTTGAGCAACAAGATTTAAAATGGTAGTGCATATGGAAAAGGTTTCACATCTAAATGGAAATGATCTGTTGCATGCCATTGACACAATGACAATATTTGACATTTCATCTCATTCCATTTTCATACTGCACTCAATGGCGCTCTGTGCAGGGTACTGAGTTGTCCAAATTGGCGCATCAGCAATTTTACGATCCACTATGTAAGACACTGCCAGTACACAGTGCAACTACTTTATCAACATATCAATTTAGAAGTTAAAAGTGTTGTAAAATGTCCACCCTTTTCTTTCGTACCAACTTCACTGGGCCAAAATTCATGCGAACTAAAAACAGATCCAGAAGCTGGCTTCAACATGCTCGAAAATATCTGGCGAATGACGTATGCGCACTTGCGGCTCCCAGCGCCGAAGATCCGTCCGCTTGCATGGCCGTGCCGTCGTGCTGCGTCTGGACCGCTTCCGGGCTGTCGCCGGTCCTCCCAAAGATGAGAGCGGGCGGCGGCCAGGCCGTCCTGCACGCCGCATCCACCGCCATGTCCTCATCCCAATTCCCCTTTTGGGCCGACGTCAACATATTTCTGCGAAGCGGCAGCCGCCTCCATTCTACGTGCGGCGTGCCTGCAGCGCCGACTGAGGGCCGCAGGCCAGAGTATGCCCCTCCAAGGAAGAGTTTGAACTGGACTCTCGCCAAGAGTCTGATTTCTGGTGCAGGAGCGGCTGATGGTGGCGCCGAGCTGAGGACCGCTGCAGAGGGCGGTGGGGACAGCGGGCACGGAGCAGAAGCGATGCTCGCTTGCGGGGTGCGATATCCGCAGGTATCACTAATAAAAAAGCATACCAAAATACACGGTTTCGAAATTGTGTACCGTGTAACACAATTGAAAATCGTGTAAAAATCGTGCTAAATCGTGTATTCATCGTATAAAGTCGGACCAAACCGTGTAGTAACAATTGAATGATTGTGAACGATTTTCCCCTTTTGACACGGTTTTACACGATTTTTACACTTCTCGGAACCCTGTAGTTTGGCCGATTTTCACTTGCGTACGCCTCTCAGAGACGAATTGAAGATTCTCTGGGATAGGGACTAAAGTCGCCATGATGCACGCAGAAACCCTCCATATGTATGGAAACGCAACGTGTACAAAATTTTCAGGCGAAGGTGATCTCCGAGCTCAAAATGTTCTGCATCTTCGGATGCCATCCATTTCACAGGCGAAAAGTTGGCACAAAGAATTGCCAGCCATGTTTACAAATGATTGGAAATGTACTCATTCATTTCCTGTTCACGGAATTGCGGTTCAGTATCTTCTTGCGCGATCTTAGCTTCTAATGCAGGATCTTCAGAATAGACAACACTGACGTCAACTGGAAAAATGGGTCACCAGCGCTTTTGGTGGTTTTCTGGACCAAAATTCAGCGATGATGAAATGGCCCAACAAATGCTGTAATCCTTGTGCAAGTGGTTGTGGCCATTTTTGTATTTCCCAGCATACATTAGTCCAGGTATGTTTTAAATAAGTCTAACCTGTAAGTTACCAAACCACTGTGCAAAGCGATAGCCATGCTTGTAGCTCATCGTTGCTCATACACAAGTCTTACCAATTCAACAGCTTTCGATCGCGGGTCAAATAGTGCGACATCGGCACTGCTTTTCCACAAACAACGGCGTACCCACACGGAACGCTTCCTGTAATTGCTCGAGCTCCCACCTGACTGGTGATTGCTGCTGGCGCCACAGGCGATCAGACCCTCTATCCGCATTGGGTCCATCGCGTGCGGCCGCAAACACGACCTGACAAACATAAGGCAGATCCTGTCGGAAGTTCCCAGCCCTGCACCCGGACGCGCGACGGCGCCAGCGGCGCCCCTCCTTGGTCGCAAAAGAGCCCGTCCGACTCCTTCTGTCACAAGCGACGCCAATGGCGCCTCAGTCACTCCCGTGTTGAAGAGGGCGAAGGTGCGGCGCCCGTGCGTGGATCCAAACGCTGGCTCGACGCTCGGAAATTCCGCACCAGCACGGGGTTGTCCAACACCCGGCTCCGATGGCGTGAAGGTCCCCGTCATGGCCCCAGCTCTGAAGAAGATGAAGACGCAGCGCCCGCAATTAAAGCAGGCCTCAGCCGTGTCAGCACACCCGTGCGGACCCTTAGGACCCGGTGCTTTGATGACCCCGGCTGTGGCCCGCGCGGGCCTGACACCCCAGCCCGCCGCCAAGAAGGCCAAGAAGAAGGGGGCAAAGATCCCAGCACAGTCGAAACAGCCCGCTCCTGGATCGAAGCCCTGCCGTCCCCGGGCCCCCGCGGCAGAAGCGGAGAGCATCGAGGATCCGTCTGCAGCTGCGCGTGGACAAGGCACAGGCGGCGGAGCAACAGTGCCAACTGCGGAAACGGCCGCTCAGCCGATCGTCCACCCGGTTGCTGCGAGCTGTTCGGCGAAGCAAGATGAAGTGCGGGCCTGTTCAGAGGTGCTGTCGACAAGCGCATCCGAACCACAGGCCGCCGCGACCGCTGCCGGCCAAGGGGGAGAGCGGGCCGTCAACGGAGCACCGTGCGCGTCGGCTGCGCCACCCGCGCCAAAGGCAGGAGAGCGCAAGGGGCCAGAGCCGAAGAAGAGGTCGAAGGTGGCCGACTTGGATCTTCCGAGCGTGACCGAGAAGGTTTTGAAGGGCTTTGCGGAGGGGAAGGTCGGAAAGCTTAGCGTTCCTGAAATGAAGTGCTATCTGAAGGCGCACAAACAGAAACTTGGGGGCAAGAAGGCAGATTTGGAAGCGAGGCTTGTGTCCCTGCTCAGGGGCCCCGAACAGTGATTGCCCCATTCCGTTTCGCTCTTTAGCCGAGCAGCAGTCCACTCTACGTGTGCGGGGGTTTTGGTACCGAGAGCACAAATCTGATGTCCCGATTGAACATTGAGTTTCCCGACTTCCTTGTTCATGGGTTCGGTGGAGGCCAACGGCAGAATTGGGATTTGTGATCCGTCGTGTTTAGAAAATGCGGGCAATGAAATTTGAAGTAATCGGAGCGCCAGTTGCGGCAGACCGGTGCGACATCCGGTGCTTGTGCCGGGCAGAGGTGCCTATATAGTTTCCGAAAAGTTTCCTATCGTAGTGGACCGCTCGCAAGTCCGGGGATGAGAGGACAATGCAAGGCGACGGGCATTTTCAAGTATGGGCCAATGGCGTTCCCTCTTCCACCGACATACTGCACTGCGGACCAGGTTCTCACAGCAAAAAATTGACATCACTTGAGTTATTTGATGCCCTTTTCCGTTTTCAACCTCCACTTCTGCCTGCAGTTTTGGCTGCGTACCATTGACATTCTTCTGGGACAATCCTGTGGCCTGGCCAACGCGTGACTCTTTTTGGCAGGTCACCAGCTGCACAGCTTCCACTTTTGCTGGTGTAACGATTGGCGATGAGGTCGCCAAGGATTCTCGCATTGCAAAGGAATATCAATGTGCGCGTAGTGCGCGTTTTGAGACTGGTTACAACATCCACTATGTCCAACAGCCGCACATATGCTTCCTTACCATTTTTGTGATTTTGTTTATGTTCTTTGTGCCCACGGCTTCGAAGCCCCCATCTTCGAAGAGGGGGAATTCCCGTTCTTATGTGTCATGGATGATCATGGCCCAATTCTCGTTAGAATCTTGGTACAAACTTCGGACTAATGTGGTTTCCTTCCATAAGGTGAGACACTATGCCGAAATTGTTACGCTTAGAGTGAAGTTGTTACTTTTGGCGTTCATTTGACGCTAGGGGGGTTGATGTAGGGTGAGGTGGGGGGTGGGTCCAGGCCTGTGACACTAAGGGATTATGTAATTCTGAGATTATGTAATTTAAAATTGCAGCAAAATCGACACAAGCTTGAAAATACCCAAAAAGCTGCTGAAAAGCGGCGTTAAACGTATGACTTGGTTCAAAACTTCCCTTTTGCTTTCAGTTTTCACAAAGGAACCATAAACTCTCAATTAGCGCCCTTCAAAACCGCCCCCCATCATCTGCTATGGCATTGTGCATCTTAGTTTTCAGCCCACTAAAATTGCGGCAGTTTTGACTGTTTTTCTTTCTTCAAAAAATGGCAACACACCGTTACGCAATGATGCTGAGTCATCCTGACTTCGACATAAGGATTGACGCTAAGGGGGGATGGGAGGGGGGCTGTGCGTAACGCCAAATTGACGCTAAACATAACAAAATCAACATGGCGTCTTCCCTAAATTGTGCCAAGAAAACCACGGCAACGAGCCCCTCGCAGCGACGAGCAACCTCAGGTGGAAGGCAACGAATTTCAACAACGCGCAAGAGCTTCAGACCCAAATTCTGCTCGCTTTGAAGCGGTAACTGGTAGGAAGCTAGCAGAATGTGGATCACCATGCAGCGCAGGTGGTGAAGCGGCCAGCGTCATGTCCATTTGAGCCACCTGCACGCATGGTGCTGCTGCATTTCATTGTGCCATGAAAAAAGCCTGGCTACCTTTCAGGCTACCTTTACGCCTTGACACTGCAAAATTTGCATGCCTCGGGGACATCGTCACACTGACGCCGTTGTGGGAAACGCCCGTTTTGCTTTGATGGCAGCCATGACTCGTGCATCGACGCATTTGTCATTTGGTTTTGGATTTCGTGTGGATTTCTCGCCAATTCCCTGGGGAATTTCAACAGGGAGGCGCTCTTCGCCCTATGTGAGGAGGCGCCAGTCGCAGTTGGGTATCAGCATCAGAGTTCTCAAATTGGCAGTTGAAGTGGGAATGGTTTATTTCAATAGTTCCCTCGGCAAGTCGCTTCTCGTTTATGGGTTGCCAACACAGATTTTGACCGAATTATCCTTCGCTGAAGTTTCCTATGGGGATGCGATGGATATGCAATGGCTTTTGAGTTCCTTATTCCTTCGTGTTCCAGTTGTCTTGGATTTCGACTACCTTGATAAGATCGCCTCCTCTTTTTCCGGAGACGTACACAAATGTGATTTTCCACGATACTGATGTTTTGCCCGAGTGGACTGGCGGTTGCGGCAATCGACGGCGTCCACTGCACCCTCCCTTCAGGACACAAAAGTTCTGCTATTCACACTTTGCTGCGTTTCTTCACCCTCCTGCCTCCTTGGGTGCGGCTCGGACGGCGGCGCGCACATTCTTCCGTGACTGTGTGTCAAGTGTAGGACTTCTTCTCACCCTCCAGCCTCGCACAGTCACCCCTCCTCAACACATTCGTGGCTGGGCGTCAACCCCAGTACCACGCTGCTCCCCTGTCGTGTCGACCAGTCGTCGGGGTGCCCGACGCCTTACATGACCATCCCTGGGTGACAAGGGCCCAGGAAACACTCTCAAACCCCTCTCCCCTCCGGAAAGCGCGCAACAACGCACGTCCCCGTCCGCTCGTCCCCTGTTCCAACCACACGCCCCAATCCCCAGCCCACCAGTTCGAGTCAATTTTCCCTCCCGGCGGCGTGTGGCCCTCGCGGCCGCGGGCAGAGTCGTCGCGACTTCGGCGCAGGGCTGGAGACGTGCTGGACGGGAGAGGGAGGGCCCGATCGCGCCGGGCCTCACTCCAGCTTCTTGAGCATCCGGTTCTCCGCCTCCAGCTGCTCGACGTCCGCGAGCGTGGCGATCGCCTCGCACCACGCCGCGAACTTGCTGTTGGCCAGGTCCTCGACGGTCTTGACGAAGATGGTGGCGAGGCCGTCTGGGAGCAGGGGGAGGGGCGGCAATCGTCAGCGGGGGATCAAGCGGAAAGGCCCGGAGGGTCTGCGTGTTTGCAGACTCGTCAAATTGCCACATCAGCAAAAGCATAGGAGCGATGGAAGCTACAAAAGCTATGAAGGTACAGGAGGTGGGGGTCGCGAAATGTGTGTGTGTGTGTGTGTGTGTGTGTGTGTGTGTGTGTGTGTGTGTGTGTGTGTGTGTTTGGAGGAGCTCCTCAGCAGCGTGGACTGTGAAACCGAGGAGCGAAAAAGCGGCACAACCCAGCGCAGACGTCTGCTAATCCGCAAACCAAGATAATAGCGAGAGCTCGGAGTGTGCCTGGCCCCCACTGGCAGCGACAGGAAAGCCACAAGTCTGCCGAACTACTGTGCTGTTCCAAATGAACGTGGGTTATCCTTCCCAGGCAGATGAATGCCAGTCTGGACAGCCGGTGAAGGCCACAGCGACATCCGTGAGAGCAGAACAGAATGACGGCAGAACAGCCTAGACTGCTGGTCGGACGCGTTTCAGCGCATTCGTCTTGCGGAACGCTCCCAGACCAAGCCCTGGATCCAACCCCCCAGCCACGAGCACGAGGCAACCATGCCGCCCCCCTTCATCAGTGCAAGTGCATTCCACAGGCATGCACATGCCACCCACCACCCCCCGTCCCCTCCCCGCCGCCATACATCTCGCGCTCTGGAGCTCACAGCAGGGGTCTTTTCGGTTACTTGGCCCGCCGGTTTCCACGCACAAACACCGCTGGTGCCGCCAAGAGGCCCACGGCATTGCCCAACACAACTTCCCTGCTCCAAAGACATCGCACGCATTGACCCACGCCGCTCACAGCCCTTCCCCCCCCTTCTCAACCTCCGCAAGGGGCGCCTCACCATCACGCTCCAACAACGCGGGCACCCCAACTCACCCGACGTCTTCTCGCTGACCCCCTGCAGCGCGTGCACCGGCGCCTCCGCCACCTCCTTCAGCGACTTCTTCTCGTACTCCTTCATCACCGCCTGGTCGATGTTCATGACCGTGCCCTCGGCGCGCCCGCCCTCCACCTCCTTGGCCGCCAGCGCCGTGATCGCCTTGGCCCACTTGTAGTACTTCCACTCGCCCAAATCCCGCACCGTCCTGCGCGCACCCGACCCCGGCTTGCCCATCAGCAACCACCCCCTCCCCCCGCTTCCCGCCGACATGGCCACCCAGAGCCCCGGTGAGAAAACGAAAACGACAAGCAACCGAAGTTCCCGAACCGCAGGCACTCCGCGAAATTCCCACTCATCCGCGTCAAGCGCCAGCCGCGTCCACAAAAGTGCATTCCCCGCCGTTGGCACTCGGCAAAATGCCGCCAGCCGCCGGCAGGCGGAGATCTCCCACTCTGGAGGGCCCCCAGACAGGCAAAGCGACGGACAAGAATGCCCGCCGTCAAACGCAGGCACCCCCCGGGGGCCAGAAGCTCCCCACTCACTTCACCCCCAGCGTGTTGAGCGCCTCCGCGCCGCGCTCCGCGATGCCCTCCACGGCAACCACCGGCGCGCGGGCGATGTCCGAGAAGGAGCTCTTCTCGTACTCCTTGTCCACGGCGGTGTTGATGTTCAGCGTGTACTCCGTGTAGTCGCGTTTCTGCCGCTTCGGCTCTGGGCTGGCGCTGGCCATGGCGGCCGCTCTGCGGCGCGGGCGCGCGTGTTGGGGGTGTGAATAGGGGAGGGGGGGGGGCCGCGCGTTGGGGACGGTTCCGTGGAGTGCGTGGTGCCCAAGGTGGGGGCCGGGGAGCCGCGGGCCCGCTGGGCGTACCGCCGGGCTGACCTTGCGGTGACGGGCGACGCGGCGCGGGAGGGGAGGCGGGTCGCGTACTTTGGGCGGGGCGATCTGGGATCTGGGATTGTTGATCTTGGGGATGGAGTTTCTGATGTGCGTCGGGGCTGGAGCATGGGGGGGTGCCCGTCGGGCTGTGCCGCTGGGCCTTGGGTGCCAAGTCGCAGCCTGTTCACGCACGCGCTGCTGCGACTTTCAATAGTTTGCTCTTGTTTTGGGGACACACAAACTGATCAGTGTGCATGTTCCCAAAACGGGAGCAAGCTGGGGATTAGGAGAAGAGGGAGAGTGGGGCGGCGATCGTGCTCATAGTTTGAAAGGAATTGAAAGGAAGGGGTTGTGGCTGACGACAGATAAGGGAGAGGCGCCAGTGGGGGCTCATGGCTGCGGGGATACTGAAACTGGGATGTCTCGGCAGGGCAGCAAGTTTGGGTGCAGGGCACAGGCGGGGTTTGAAGGCTAGGGATGTGAGGACGTTCAGAGACAAGTACAGGGCCCGGTGGAAAGCATACACAGGAAATAATGCCAAACCATCATAATTGCATCTTACACCACAGCCTTTCGAATGCGACATCAATCAACAGATAGAAGACTTCTTTTCAACATGCTGGGCATGTGATGCAGCTCTTCACATGCAATAATTTTGTGGGCTCGTTTTTGCACTCAGCAAGATGATGCACAAGTCTGTGCACAACAGGAATAGCATGCAGGCACACAGTTGCAGAAGTAGCAAGACAGGCCGAATCACCAGCCCATGGGAGGGAAATGAATAAAGCGTTGATGAAGATCCATCCCAGTCGTTGGCCCCCAATTGGCAGCACATGGCTCTGTAAGAGTGAGCTTACGCATCGAAAGCTTGTATTGATGGTTGGTATCATTATGACTTGATCCAGAAAGGATGCACTGATGTGCTCCATCTGCTGCTCAGTCCTGTTGTGCAATTGTGCCTATGTGATGGACCAAGATGTTTGCAATAACAGTTTCTGCAGACTGATACACTCCAAGCTCCGCTGACCCTGCCTGCCTGTCCTGGCGGTTTGATTTCTGTCTGCCACCTGCTATGTGAATGGATTGCCACCAACAAGCAGAACCTCTAGCAAGCGCTTGAGCTGCAGCATGGCTCAACCTGCCAGAAGGCCCTGAACATTGAAAAATTATGTTCACAACAGCATTTCTTTGAGTTTGATCCTTCAATAGTTGAAGACTGTGGAGATTGTATGAGATCCATTTTTTCATTCTGTTGCCAATATTTTTCTAGAATTTAGCAGAGGCCACTGACAACACGTCCCTTTTCTTTGAATCTCTGCGAGCAAATTGTCCAGAACTGATGCCAAATCAGGAGAACACAGCAATGCTGCTGCCCAACAGAGTTATAGATGCAACTCCTTAATACGGGGAGCCGTGCACGGCTGACTGAAGTCTACAACATCACGATGGCACAGCACAATGATGCAACTTTGCATTCTAGACCAACGTGTGGGGTCATACATAATTACCACATCCACAACACATGTGTGCAAAAACTGAATATAGGAATCTGTGATTTCTTCCAGCAGCACAGCTCAACAAGAATGATCACTCATTGCATGTTTGTCCTGGGCACATTTGCCAAATGGACGAGGCGAGTTGTATGTGATCATTTGGGGATCATGCAGTGGTGCCACAATTTGCCATGCGTCGCCAAGCAGGAGAATGGAAACCTTTTTCCACACTTCTGCCACATGAATTCGAAGATAGGAGAAGATCAGCTGGCCAAGGGAAAAAACGTCGAATGCCAAATGAGCGGCATTGACAACTGTCCCCATGATCAGCAGCCCTGCATCCACTATTGCACTGTACTGTGTGGGGACTGATTGAAGGTATCCTGAGCTGAAAGGTCCAGCCTAACACCAGTCTTTTTCTCTCCTACTGTGTGGCCACAACTGGCAAAATTGACATGCTGCATAATGTTAAAGGGGAGCATGCCTCAGACAAGTCCTTTTGCATATCCTGTCCCAACCACTCGCCTGAAACTGTTCATGCGGACAATCAACTCAATTATTCCCACCAAGAGCGCCAGCTACTCATGGGACTTCCAGCTGTCCATAGGCCAGCACTGTGTGTTCCAGTGCCTCCTCTCATGCACCACGGGCATCCACAACTTGTATCCACACTTATTCGACTCCATCCCTTTTGGCATCTGGAATTCCCTTGTGTTGATGCAACAAGAGCGTTTATGCACTGGCAAGGCATGCTATAATAATGCCCAAGCAGCAAACATTTTGTTAGTGTTGATATTAATGTCAGCTCTGCCTGAATGTTGCATTGACTCATTGATGCATGGACATTCAAGCATTGTTGCTCAGCATTGCACCAAAAAACCTCGACGGAACACGCCACATTGATGCGACAAAATTCATTCATTTTGAACGCCAGTATGCCCTGCTCGTGGAAGCGTAGGCAGCCAACACAAGCCAAGGCATTGGGGTTGCCATTGCCTCACAGCATCACCCGCAGGTTCCAGTGGTTGCTGTCGATCCTACATTTTGGCGCAGTTGCAGCGGCTGGGGTTCGTGGAGATAACCCCAGCCCCAACACCCCCTCTCCCTTTCCCACCAACAGATTTCGGATGGCGTCGACCGAACATTGGCCCATCACCACCATGCGCCCGGACTGCACGGGACGACGGCCACCCACTCGTATTCCTGCAATCTCCCAACCTATCCTCCACACCGTATGCGCCGGTGGGACGCTCTTAAGGTCCAGTCTGGGTCATACCTACCCTGGCGGACTCCCCTGTCCGCCCAGGTCACAAGAAAGTCACAAAATCAACAAGGCCCCCACCCGAACGCTCGGTGCCCGACAGCCGCAGGGCCCACAAATCCAAAACATGCCAGCCCCTGTGGAATGGCGCGCCCGAACGCACGCAAGACATTTCAAAGATCGACGCCAACCCGGTTCGTACCCCCTCGACAACCGCATGGGGGACGCGTCTGGGTGCCCGGCCAAGGGACCAGTCAGCCACTTGCCTGCGCAGGCCAACCGGAGCGCCGCACCGCCGCGGCCGATCAGCGAGAGAAGACGGACTCCGGCCAACAGGGACGTCCCTCTCCTTGCCGTTGGCGCACGGTGCTCGGCGCGAGCTGGTGCTCGAGTCGACGATCAGCGAATGGGTGGCGCGGAGGGGCGGATGCCACGATTTTAAACGAGTTAGCACGTGACACACTGATCACAGCTGCGTGAAACAGGCCCTTGCGCAGGGGGCTGGAACACCATGTCTGGTATTTTAGCTGATAACAGTATGGGTTGCTTTTAGAGCTTGCACTCTTTGACATGGTGCATTCCAGGGCTGTGACGAATCCACAAAAGACGTCAGCATCGCACGTGTACAGGGCAGGTGCATCGAGTACATTTACCGAAAACTTGACAGCTGCAATGGAATGGCGGACGTCATTCATTGATGAATTTTTGACTTCGTACCTGGCACAAATGTTATGACGCGGGTGATGTCGTTATGGCCCTACGGCTGACCCAGAGATGAGGACACACTACGCATGCATTTGGTTTGCGAATCGAAGAAATTATCATCCATGCTCAGGACATCCAAGAGACGACCGCGTCCATACCGTGTATATAAAATATCGTTTTACATCGATAAATATCACGTATTAGTGCTGTATCAAAACCTAAACATGGACTAAAATGGGCTTACCGAATGATGATTAACACTGCTGCACTTTACAGTGAGCAGCACCGTAGATCACTGAGGATAACGCGGGGGGTGTTGAATAGTGCGGGGGCCTTTAGATAACGCCCCCGGCGTTATCAAACATGACGGGTGTTGCGGAGCGCGGGGGTATGCAGGATAGCGCGGGGGGGGGGGGGGGGGCCGCTATCCACTTCAACATCACGTACAAACACAATTCAAAGCATTTTCACACAATCTTACATCTCATTGCATGTTCTATCACCCCAATGTTATCAAGTCCACTCCAACTCAGCATTTGCCATGACATTCTTCCTTCAATCAAAGACCATGTCCTCAAGACTCTCGGTGTCCAGCTCCATACTACCATCACTCAAACCAAGGTCATCAGGATCTCCAGGCTGTCCGCAGTGCAGTGCGACGTCCCAATAGCTGTTATTGGTTGGCGCCGTGACTGGCGCCTTATGTAATGTTTAGCAATGTTGTGCAATATGCTATATTGGCCAGGCGTCGGCTCGCTTTGTCAATCAATCTGGCAATGCGGGTGGCGCGGCATAATGCGGCGGCCTCTGGCGTCCCATCACTTTTTCTGCCGCCGGTTTTGGTTGCTGCCGTGAATGGCGCCTTATGAAATGCGCTAATTTGGTGGGGCACCGGTACGCTTTGCTGCCGGTACGCGGGCCAGCGTGATAGGCGGGGCGCTACTGAGTCAGCGACATGATGTGGAACGCGAGGGGCACGGAAGATAGCGCGGGGGCACGCAAGATAGTGCCCACCGCATCCCTGACGTCAGCCCTTATGTGGAACGCGGGTGGGGTGACATCCTCCGTCAGGCTTGGATCTTACGTCTACGTTTACCTTTTCACTTTTACGTTTCTACGCGTAAAAACGTAAATTTCCAAAGGGGCCTATTTTTTACGGCTTTTGTACGTTTTCACGGCTCCCTGGGACACCCAGGCTACATGATGAAAGTGGCGTACAATGATCAATCTTCCGGCATCTCCAGCACCCGCAACACAATGTCCGCCTCCCCCTTGGCAAGGGCGATGATGGCGTTTAACAAAACTTCTTTTTCTGCCCCTTTCAGGGCGTCTGGCTGCCACTCTCCGGACTCCGTAAATCTGTATGTACTGTCCTTATGTACACCGGGCAGTTTTTACGTTGTGTTTACACATTTTCACCCAATTTTGCGCGTAAAAACGTAAATACGATAAGTTTTTACAGCTTAAAACCAAGCCTGTCCTCCGCGATCTATGGTACCTGAGTGTGGAGCAGCAATCGATACTACTACAATAAACAATTACGGCTACTATTACTCATGGATTCAACGTTAACTTTAGCCATGTTTTGATGCCATTCACCTGTGATGTCTCCTCTCCGTTTGGCCTGCCGCTGCAATCTGGATCGGGAATCCATACACCCTGTACCCTTCCTTCTTTATTTAGGAGTGGGAGCCCAGCGGCCACCCCCTCATTCTGGAAACGGATGGAACGTCAGTGGGGGAATAGAAACGATATTCTCAATATTTGAGAGAAATCATGAGCAACGCTGAACAAAGAGGATGGCGCTGGGGGTGCCAAGCAGCCGGGGGGGATGGGTGGATGGGAGTTTATATAGCAACCTGGCGTTATCGAACGTGGCCGGTGTTGTGGAGGGCGGAGAATGTGCTAGACGACGCGGAGATAAGCTAGATATCATTGAGAGTGTGCCATAGTGCGCAGGCTGTGCCGTTTCATGCAAGTGCAGGAAGTCGAAAAACGTTTTGCTGCGACGTCCCGCCACTTCTGCTGAGATGCGCGTCATAGTTCAGATAGATCTGCAATCATAACATATATGTTATTCGTATATACGAATCTAAAGTACGACATCAATGATAAGCTGGTGAAGGGGCTGTGCCCTTCGCCAGTCACTGTGACAGTGGCGGTGCGGCGGTGGGGTGGGTTGGGGGGCGCGCACTTGTTCAGCAATTCGATGCGGAATGTGGGGAGCACCCAAGATAGCGTTGGCACAAAAGATAGCATCCCCCACGTTTTCTGACGCCCGTCCCGATGCTCAACACGGGTATGTGTGTGCTGGGGTGGGCATGGATGGGGTCCGGGTGAAGGCAGGGCATTATAGGAAGCTGACGGCTACCTCATTGCCTTGTTCTGTAAAAAATAATGATGAAGAAAAAGAAGGCAGGGCATTATCTTCCGTGATCTAAAGTCCCCCTCCCATGCCGGCTGCATCTATGCAATGGCAACCCCGCAGTGGATTCAACTCAGTTCCGACCGTCCCACGACATCCAACCGCCCCATCTTCAACGACGTTCAGTCATTTGTTCTCAGCCGGTGCGGCCACCGCACACCTACAGGCCAGCTGGCCGTCCCTCCCTCCCTTTGAGAACATCAAACGCGACAAGGAAAAGAAGGAATCAGGAATCGAAGCCGAGCCAAGCCAAGAAAATCAAAAATCAAGCCCAGCAGCGCCTTGGGTCTGTCGCCCGCCCTGTCGGTCGTGCCAACGGAACTCACCCCTGCCCCTTCATCCCTTGTGAACTCACTCCCGCCCACATCGCCCCAGCCGCCCACGAAATGCCGCCCGAATGTCGCCCCTCTCGTCCCCTTCTCGTTCCGCACGACACCGGCCGCTCCCCGCCGGCCGCGCGCTGACCGGTCCACTCCAGCGGCCGCCGCCGCCGCCCCCGGCGGTTGGAATCCCCCTCGCCAGGCGCCCTCCCGCCCTCCGCCTCCAGGCGGCCGCGAGCCGGCAGGCCATCGAGGAGCAAGGATATTGGGTCACGGGGACCTCCGCCGATAGGCACGGAGGGCCAGGCAGGTGATGCGCGACCGCGAGTGATGCGCGCCGCTCCCGCCATGACGCCCGGCCGTTCTCGGGCGCGCTAGAGTCGGGGCGGCCTCGCGCGAGCTTCATGCCGCCAGCCCGGAGACCTCTTCCGAGCCCGCATGGCGCCAGAATCGGCGGGAAATGGATCCAAAGGATCGGCTGCAGGCCGGAAAGCGTTGGCCGCCCACACCCCTCCGGCAGGCCTCTCCGGATTGCCCGCCACATCCCCCTCGTCAGAGACGACATCCCATCCCTCGGATCCCCCAGCTGCGAACGCACTGCTCAGCCATCTACACGCCAAGTCGATCGTCCCCGCGCGGGGCCGCCTTGACGGCCATCGCGGCGCAGCCGCGCCAATGCGTTAACGTCGGCGATTGCCCCTCCCAGTCATTGGACGGCTTCATCTCCTCCCTCCACCGTCCCCTTTCCCAATCCGCCAGAATTCTGCGATCTTCCATGGATGCTTTCCGACGTGCGCGCCCCGCTCGAGCCAGCCTGAAGACTACCCGTTCCTCTGTGCTCTCTGATGCGGCTTGCCGCGCGCGACTCGCGACGTGGCCACCTTTTCTTCTTTCCTTCTCTCTTTTCCCTTGTTTCTCTCTTCCCTTTCCTTCTTTCTGCCATGTCAATGCTGTGGCTTGTCATGGTCACAGGACGCAAAAAAGGGCCTTGAGGCTGGCGGAGAGGGGGTATGGAGGGACGGCGCACCAGGGCGGCGGCCGCGGAGGCCAGGCACAGGCTCGAGGCGCTGGCGGGGCTGCACAGGGACGAAGGCCTGCCAACCCAGGGCGTCAGCGTGAGTGACGGGGGGACGGAGTGTGACGTCCGGTGGTCGTACGGCTGTCGTCAGGCGAGGGGAGGCACTGCGCGACCGTCAGTCAGCCGTGTGACAGGGCTGACGGTCGCCAGCCAAGGGAATGTGGAGTCGTGGTGTGGGCAATGTGCTTGTGGCAACCCTTCGTCGCAGCTGCGTGCGGGCCGCCGGGTGCAGTGGCGACGCTGGGAAATGTTCCACCTCGTTTCTGGGTTGTGGGCGGGGAAGTTTCGTGCTGTTCCGAACCGTTGGACGTCCTTGCAAAGCTGAGGTTGCAATGGCATGGGCCCCATCGCAAGCGTGCACGATGCTTCGGTCTTTGCTGTCACGTCATATCGTGACTGTTTAGAGACGCTGTGCACAAATCGTACGTGCTGAAAACGGTTGCAAAGAAGCCAACTTTTCACGATATTTTGGGGCCTTTTCTCACTAGTGCAAAATGTAACCAAATAGATTCCGCGGACAAATAGCTGAGAAATAAAGTACAGTGCGCTGCTTGCCGTGAATGTTGGTGCTCATGAGCTAGACCTTGTGAGCCTGAAACAGTTACATGATGCACACTTATGCTGGCAGGACTCGTACCACTGCTCGCTGAAGAAATAGATGCACAGATTTGCCAGCAGCAGCAGCAGTGCTGTTTAGCCATTGTAGATTGAAGTTTTCAGTACTTTTCTGGTTGTAGATCAGATTGCATGCAGTCTCAACACTATTAGTGCTGTGCCCCTTCTGTGCGAATGAAACCCAAACAGGTCCACAAACTCGCAGTTATCCCCTCAGTATGGCCTGTGTTGTGCAGCTTAAAGCTGCAAAGAAAGCTGCAATACATAAACAATCCAGCCATGTTGCGGTCAAGCCAACATGCCACCATGCACCATCTGGATCATCTCGGTCTCCCACAAAACCTGCAAACATTCGAAGTGCATTCTGAAATGTGCTGGAATCCTCTACATAGTGGCACATCTGTCTGTGTGGATCCCCTCAACAGCACACTGGCTCCTTCTGCTGCTGCAGACGCTTCCAAATGGAACGAGAAGCAGCTCATTCTTGAAGCGCGCACCATCCAGGGAGCCGTCTCTTGGGCTGTCACAGTCAGGCCGGTGAGAATCGCCAGATTGCCACTAGTTGATGCATTTGCTCACAGGCTGGTGGCCATTCACTTGCTCTGCATACCATGGACTGATCTCCCTTCTCACAGTGAAACATGTTCACCCATATTGTCTTGTGTGACAATGGATACCACAGCAGTGTGCTTGTTCACCATTGCTTGCAGAGTGCCACTCTCGATCTTTCTGAACCGGCAAGATGGGCAGGTGAAGCAAAAGGCTAGAGGTCGCCCTTGAATCTGGTGCGCGGCTGTGCTCCGAATGTTTTTACAAAATGTAATGACATAATGTTCTTCAGCCATCAACAGGAGGATGCTACTACCAGCCAGTGCCAGAAATGCCCTGAATGTTATCCATGTGTCTGGTCACCGATTCCGAGGGATGGGGCTCAATCTCACACCCCGCAGCTCTCAAGCAGACCTCATAGGGCCCTTGGAAGCCATTCAGAATGTTGCTGACCTTCAAGAAAAGAAGATGAAATGTCTGCTGAAAACGACTAAAATCCGCTGTCAACTTTTCAAATGCAGCAACTTCAGCAATGTGGCTAGCAGGGAATTTCCCAGAGTATGAATCCAAAAGATTTCCCAGGCACTCAATCCAGTGGTTTGATTTGCTGTTTTGGTGCTCAATCGTCAGGGTGCCACCAAACACTCACCTGAGCTATCCCAAGGTGCAACGGTGGGACTCCCAGGGGGCAAAGGTTGGAGTGTTCGCTGGGTCGAGCACCATCGCATCGATGCCACCATCCATGCTCTCGACGTGCGATCGAGGCAGCAGAGGCACTGCCAGTTTGACCAGGGAGCCATCATTTTCGTCCAGACTTAGCCGGAGCTATGGACAGAGATATGCTGCAACAACCACTCCAGGGACCACAGCATACCAGTGAGTGGCGCAGGGGCCCAGTGGCAGCATTTCACAATGATGCTGGCAGCGTACTGATGCCAGCACCACTGGCCACCTGCGGCATTGATGGATGAAATTGTTCCTTTCGTTTTGAGGGCAGAGCTCCTGTCATCTTACTGCTGGTGCCATAGGTGCTGTATCGGAAAATCTTCTGCTGCTGAAATCAGCTTGTACTTCATCACTGTTTTGTACCATCATCCCCAAGGCCCCAAGGCTTGTACCCTTTGCAATCGATCCAGCTATTCTGACAAACCAATCATCATTTGCAACTCTGAATGCTGAAGCAGTTGTCCATTTCGCCGGGCAAATTCTCTGATTTCATAGATCCATGGGTTCATATGAGCACATGCAACATAAGGATTGCTACCTGGATGCTGCCCAGGTGACACCTGCTCACCTGGGCGCTTCCACTGTAGATCCACAATTCTTGTGCCTTGTGCGATCAGGAGTCTGTCCACGTCCGGCAGTGTGGTGCGCTCCTCCAGCTTCAGCAGGTTTACCAAGCGGGAGAGCACCAGCCCCCCCTCACCCACCAGCAACTTGCTGAGGGACAGGGACCCCCTGAGCACAACGGCTGGCACAGCTTCCAGCACTGTCAGCGGATGTGAGGCTTGGGGGAGCAGCCAGATCGCTGCCGTCCGCAACCTGTCCCAAAACCTGGGGTGCCTGGACCTGGGTGGCAGTCCGAAGGCGAGAAGGCCCAGCGCAGGAGCCCTCGTAGCGGGCTGCATCGGGGCGGGGCACTGCGGCCTGTGGAACCTGGGCAACACCTGCTATCAAAACAGCACCATACAGGTACTCAATGCCATCCCGGAGCTCGTGGACTTCTTCCACAACAGCAAGGTGTGTCGGCACAGAATGACGTCCGAAACCGTTCGAAGTTGCCAACAGCCGCCACAGCGACTTCCCCTAGCTTTACTCTTGTGTGGAAGTGGTGTCTTTTGTGTGGCATGTTTCTTATTACAACACGCTTGGACATCTCTATGTTTCTGTTGTCACTTGCTCCAAATCTCGATACATGCACCCCCGTGCTGTTCTGCCATTCCCTGCGCTCATCTGCCGCACAACAGAGTGGCCATTTTGAGACAATGGAGACCAACATTCAGGACACCAATCCAGACCGTTGGGCTAGTTTTCTACCTGCCACAACTTACAAGGTGCGAAATACAGCTGGAAGTGTTTTGACTGCAGTTGTTGAGAACACAGGAAAACAAATGAACTGAAGGGGCAAAGGCTGTGTGTTGTCACTCTTGGGCAAGTGCGATCGCATCATCTGACCTGCGATCGACGGCCTTCGTCAGGAGTGGAAGCAGGGAGGGGATGTATCCGAGGGCTTTGGCCACCTGATCCAGCAGCTGTGGCGCCAGCCCGCCGGGGCGGTGGCGTCTGCAAAGGACTTCCGAGCGGCGCTGATGGGCCTCGACACGAGGTGGACGCGCGGCTCGCAAGAGGACTCCCACGAGTTCATGACGGCCGTGCTCCAGAAGCTGTCGGTGAGAGCCAAGCCGCGAGCCGATGAAAACTTGGCAATGGTGCTCTTAAGGCCCTGCGTCGAAGCTTGCGACCGCTGGGTACTCATCGTGGGGATTCAGTTCCGATTGACAACCACGACCCGGATCTGGCGCCCTTTGCCAGATGGCGCCTTTTACCTTTCCCGCCCTTTCTACTTTGCTTAGTTGTGGGCCAACGTCGCTGCCCCAGCCCCGCCCAAAACGGCACGCTGGTCGTCGCGGGTCAGACCCCTGGTCACTGGAGGTAACGTGTGGGTTCGGCAGTGGTAACACCTACATTGGGGGGCCAAACATTCATCGGCTCGAAGGGCGGGGTTCATCCCTTAACAGGAGGGGTTTAGTTCCATTCCGCCTGAGAATGTCCAGTTTGTTCGACGTTTCAACCATCACCATTTTTCACAGAACAAGGCGATGGGGTAGCCGTCAGATTCCTATTTTGCCTGAGCAAAGCAGTGGCTAGATCAGTTCATTGCAATCTACTGTTAAAGACACGTCGACGTTTTCGCCAAGGTGAAGGCCCATCTCGAAGCTGTTGATTCTGTGGTACACGTGCACCAAATGTTCGGTTCCGTTGCCCTGCCTGAGACAGCGTGTGCCACAGACGCTCGGGAGCTTTCCGGCACTGTAAGCCTTTTGCAGGCACTGTGAGCTTGTCAACTTGACAGTCATTGCCGTGAGCCTTGTCGTCAGCCTTGCCTCGTGATGGTAAAATGACTGATGGTGACACTGCCAAGCTCGTCAACAATTTGCTTTAGGGCCCACGGGGTGCCGGTCACTGGAGACCTTCCCAAGGTCAGCAAGAGCGCTACGGCAATGATTGAGTGCCCAAACCCCTGACGATGCATGCAGGGTGAAAGGCCCGGGTTCGTTGATTGACTGCCTGGAGCGTAAAGAGCTGCGTGTGGGCTTGCAGGATGAGTGCTCCCGCAACAAACGCCCTCCAAAGTACCGGGAGCTGGAGGATCGTGTCGACCCCCGGCGCCAGGCCCAGGAAGAGTGGTCCTACAACCGGGAGTGGCACAACAGCACGGTGGACGACCTGTTCGGCTTCCAGCTGCACGCGACGACGGTGTGTCCCCAGTGTGGCGTCAGCAGCCAGCGCTTCGATTACGTCACAGCCCTGGAGCTGCCGTTGCCGTCCCGCGGGTCAGGCGTCCATTTGGAGGTGAGCTGCCAAAGGCTTAATAAACCTCGCAGCATTAGTGGATGCCAGAATCCAACATGGGAGCGCTCCACGTTTGAATAAGGAGTAGAACCTTGTGGCTATGTCGGCATGGTTTCCGTCTACAACGGTACCCGGATGGCGTGCCTGCATATTGCTGATGAAATTTACTGGCATTCGACAGAGATATCAGGAAAAATGCGCACCACCTGGTGGAAGAGCCAAATAAAACAGATCAACAATAGCACTCACACGAAAAATGTATGGAAATTTCCATACATGATTTATCATTCTTGTACTCCGGACTTAAAGCGGTCATATCGACCATCGCAGCAGTATTCAAAACCCCTTTGATTCAGCTCTACGGGGAACAGAAATTTTACACGAGTGTGCTCTGGGAGGGATACCAATATCGTTGTACTTGTCAGCAGCTGGCTCTTTAACAAGCATGCACCGCCATGCCCAATTGCGTCATTGTTCGACGACATTTTTTGCTTTAGGATTCCACCACGCACGACTGAAAAAGACAAACCAATAAAGCTATGTGTATGTTTATACACAGACAGTGTATCAGTTATCACTGCGAAAAGGCGGATCCCATTCGATTACAGATTGCTGCCAATCGCTTTCCAATGGGATGCAAGGTACTCAGTAATAATGTTCACTGAACAGCAGAATCTGATAGACTCTGCCAGTTCCGAGTACCAGAAACCGGTTTCCCCACTTGGCACAACCGCAGGAATGCTTCGAGGCCTACGTGCGCACGGAGACGCTGGACGGAGACAATTGCTGGAGGTGCAGCAGGTGCGCCAAATTCGTGCAGGCCAACAAGCAGATCCGCCTGTACCGCCTGCCCACCATCCTCATCCTCACGCTGAAGCGATTCAAGTCTCAGGGCGGCCTCGCAGCGTTCAGGGCGTCCAAGTACACTACGCCGGTTGACCTGGGCTGCGACCCCATCGACGTCAAGATGCTGTGCAGCCCACTAGTGAGTGCGCATCAAAGGGGAAAAGTGGAAAGGAACACGAGACACATTCCAGGGGCAAATGCCTTTAATATAGCAACCAAGTATCTCTGCAAGAAAAGGCGACCAAGTAATGAATTAAAATAAATCAAAACAATGAACCACCGTACATCTGGCAGCAAAAGCCAATTTGTAAAATTATGATGACGTTTTGCAGCCTCCAGATACAAATCACAATAGGGCGCAACACGGTTCCCATCTGTCACTAATTCAATGCATTAATTATACAAAAATTGGAAGTTTTGCACGCATGCTGGCAAGCGTGATACTTCTAAGAACACTCTATCACATTAAATAATATGCAGCGGTTAATAAGTAACAAATATAAATCAGATGTGATAACGAATGCATCGATTTTGGGAAATTATCGACAATGTGGAATTTGCCACTGTTTGAGTGCGAATGCATCCATGGCGTGAAGTGCCGATGGAAAATTTGTCTGATGGGCCGCTGTTTGTATTTCCGTTGCAGTGCGTCGACAGCCGCCACACAAAATACGAGCTGATAGGCGTTGTAAACCACAGCGGCACTCTGAATGGCGGCCATTACACGGCGCAGGCTAAAAATCCTAGGGACGGATCGTGGTGAGTGCTGGCATTCGTAAATCACCATTCCGCAAGCAACTTGTGAGAGCAGCTAAGCAACTTTTCCACCTGGCTCGACTAAGGACGAAAACGCGCATCGGTTGAGGCTAGCATCACCTGAAGAAGCACTAAACTTGAACATACTACAGGATGTCGCTCAGTCGACAGAGATAAAAGGTAAAGTAAAAGCGTATTCTGCAATACACATTAGGTGATCTGGAATTCTTAACAGAATGCTCATTGCATACTTGGCTGTTTTACACCAGGTGTTGATTTACGCATGCAAGGCGCTTTGGAAATTTCAGAGTCACATGCGCCACATGGGTGTCGAGGACTTTTCTTCATTTATATCCCACATTACCTAGGCAGTTTCGCCGTAAATCTACACAACTCGTGATACATAAGTGTAGCGTAACTGTGGCACACTCAGGTGATCTAGCACATGCACTGGCCAGTCCACAAATCATCAAAAGTTCAACATCGTTGATAAATCCTGAAGCCTTCTGTGTATGCGTGAACGATATATCAGTGGACACACCAGATAAGCAAGTATTCGTCTCCGCGTTATACTTCGTTGAAGTGTGATTGTGCTGCAGTCCAGTTGATTGGAAATTTTTGAACTTTTCCCATCTCCCCTAGCGTAATTCGCCTTAGTTTCTTTCATATTTTTTCGTTCGATTTCGTTGAATTCAATGGACTTCACTGTATCCCGTTGTGATTTTGTTGCATGGCTTCCATCCATAGGTACAATTTCGACGACTCGGTGGTGGAAAAGATCAGGAGGCCTTCGGGATACCAGTCAAAAGCTTACACGGTTGTTCTGCGTCACGTGAGCTGATAGCGCACGCACAGGGCAGACAAGTAATCTCACCATGCAACGCCTGATCTACCGCGAGCGTGTTTGAATCAAGGTTGAGAAGCATTCAGACATTCAGAATGCGGATCTCATGGTGAGCAGGAGTGGCCGCGCAATTTCAGGGTGGGAGCGAATCCCATGAGTTGCGGTGCAGATCGGCAGCCACGTTCCCGACCGCCGCACGGCCGAACTGGAACCACCCCGGTGCATTACCACGCAAGTTCGCAGCGCCTCAAGACATCCTCTGGGCGTCGGCTGTTGCTGCTCCGTTGAAATGGTCGCAAGAAGAGGAGTCCTGGGATTCAGAGGAACACTGTGTTTTAAGCACGTCAGTCGAGGTCAACTGACCGAGCCGGTACACGTTGTTCTGAGAAGGAGCTACAAGCCCGCGGGCGCAAAAACGGATGCATTACAGATTGACTGGGGCGTGGCCCCTTTGAATGCTGCAGACATGCCAGTCCAGGATCGGCTTTGAATGCCGCTGTCGGCCATACGTCCAGTTCTGTGGATGCGGACGACGGAGGACTCTGGCGAAGGATTCGCGAAGATCTGGCGAAGAGGAGGGACTGTGAAGGGGGCGTTCATGGCGATCGTGTCCAAAGCCAATGCAAGCATCAGAATTGCGTTCTTTTGCCCCAATCGCCATGGACCTTGCGTGATGCATTTACTTCGCTGCTGTCGAGGACTCCCTTAGTAAGGTGTGTTCACATTGGCGCTTCAGCTTCAGGATTTTCGGCAATTCCCTCATTATGTCCACTTTGGCTCAATTGTCTCTTTGTATCCTTACCTGTCGGCTCTCCGTAACTTGCCGAGATGACCTGTTCAGCTCAATGACGAGAATGCTGTGGTTTGCCAATGGAGCTTGCAACAGCACATGGTAATCCTATTACGCGATCAAAGTCATCGTTTGGCATGAGATCTGTAATTCGCCGATTTCCGTTGGTGATGAAGAGTTGCTCCCTGCTGAGTTTGAATTCTTGGACCTATATGAATGTTGTTGAAATCCCAATAACAGTAGCCATGGCAGTCACAATTTCACTTCATAAATGCCACAGTACCAACACTTGGCTGCAAGATGCCCCACGACTTTGCTTGACGAAAGTCTCCCTTGGCGCAGGAAGGCTGCACGTGCCTCACGCGGAAGGCACTCCTTATGCGCATTTATCGCGCTTGGCACTTCAACGGCCGGCGACCGTGGAGACTGCTGGCTACATCCCATCGAGCGCGTTGGATTAAATTGCTATCTTGAACCAAATAAGACAAAATAAAAAGAGCACCATGAGATGGCGTTGATGTACAATATTCAGGCAGCAGGAGACCCCTTTTGAAGTCGGAAAATGCGTCAAGCCCGAGGATCTGGAAGTTTTCATGATGCCATTCTATTTCACTCGTTACAATGGTGACATCGGGAAAACAGAGCGGAAAGTAGCTCAAAAGGGTCTTCCCAAGTTGATAACGAGGTTCAGATGCATGTATTATTGACTTTGCAGGATCAACTCACGACAGGGTCGAATACGCGCTCTGGCAAAGGAGAAACTGGGGCCGTAATGAGTGAAATTGGAAAGGAGATGTTCTGTAAGGTAAAATTTTCGGCTAGAATGTGGAAATGAATGATGACCTTTTGCTGTTGCACACCAAATCAAGGATGCTGTGATGCACATCAAGGGCGTTTTGGCCAGCTCACACTGTGAGAGCGCATTCCATGCGAGCAGCAATAAGAAGCATGCCGGCTGTCCAGAGGTATTATCTTCTGTGGCGTTTCATAGCGTTTGGCTTTAAACAAGCTCAAATATCAGAGCACCTAGTTTTCTGCAGATTCCGAGAGGAAAGGGCCGACCATAAAATCCAGAACACGCCACCAGCAGAAGAATCTAGAATTTCCATCACCACCAGCGAGCAGAACCATTGCAAAGTGATTGTGCAACACTGCAAGATTCGGGCGCTTCAAATTAGAATAGCATACCTTCTGTGCACGGTGAAAGATACAGCATTCTCTTAGCCCAGACGTCACATCTGGGATAGTGGCTAGTTTTGCACATTGAGGCTGCAGGAAATTGAGCAACAAATTTGCTTGAACCGAGCTACAAGATATAATGGACCGGGTGGAGAGAGCAAGCTCACAGCTGGCTGCGCGGGGCCCAACAACATCGCATGTTGGCCGCCTTTTACGACAGCTCTACATGGTAGGACAGGAATCACACCAAATGGCTCCAATTGGAGGCGCTCAACTTGCAAATTGAGCATCAAGAACAGGCGATTTCCGCTAGCAAAAAAACGACAAAACAGCACTTTTTGCGAACACAGTGTTTTGCATGCTAAAAACACGGAAATAACACAAACCCGTAAACTTTGTACACGTTTTGAACACGCGTTATTTGGCCCTTTTTTTCCTAGTGTTCGGCACGTAGAATTTGCGCAGAATTTCCATATAACACTGGGCCTCGAATGAAATGGCATCGTTAATCACACATAGGGCCCTATATTTGTACCCCGGGGTACAAACATGCAATTTACAGAGCACAATCCAATAAAATATGAATGCACCATAGCCTCCCTGTGCCCTGGTGGTTTTGCAGGCAATACAGTTGCCAAATGAGAAGAGGTTCATCAGACACCTAATGAAATACTTTGTCCAACCGTGGCGTCCCTCAACCCCCATCTTCATTCCTATGTGAATGTTGCGTCGTGCCATTCCATGATAGCCCGGGAGATATTTTCGGGCTGGTCTTCTTGGGCATAGTGCCCCGCCAATCCCACATTAATAGGCCCAGTCAGGCTGTCAGGGAACGCGGAGGCGGCGTCGACGAAAGCCGCCAGGAACGGAGATCCTGGAGGAAATATGATGCCGTTCTCGGCAGTCAAGAAGAGCTTCGGCACAGGCCTCCTGAACAGCGCGTTGCGGCCCCTCTGCATCTCCAGCCACACGCCTGCTCGAAAATCCCCGCAAGGAAGGGCGCATTTAGCAATTTTCAAACAGCATTTCGCAACTTTAACAAAGGCGGGATGTTTGGTGAAGAACGAGCTGCCTGTGTAAGCTCCGCTTTGCAGGTTGTGCTGCGCATCGGGATTCCCCATGCTCTGAATATTCCCAATCGCTTGGCGTGCGTACGCCAGCAGTATGCCAGGTTTGGCCTCATATTTGCAAGTGCCCGCGACGGAGAGAGATAACCGCGGCATGCCGATCAATTCATTATTGGTGCCAACCAGAAAAGCACGCTCTCAATTAGTGTGCAGAAAATATGATAGCATGCAGCAATGCAATCCCTGTATGTTTTCATATTTTGTGCACACGAATCGTGTGACGCGGTATTGTGTGTCCAAAAGTTTTGGGACCTGTCAAGGCATGTCGATGGTTGCGTGCTCCAAGGTGCACAATGTTGTATTTTCATCATGATGTGGTAATTGCAAGCATGCAAGGCAGAGCCGCGATTACCCTCACAGGAGATGGAACAGTCATCAAACAGCAGCGAAGCTGTGGCATATGTACATATATAAACCATTCAATTGTTCGCGCAAATCGCAGGACATGCGAAAATGATTCAAATTAAGAAAGAATACTGTGGATGCGAAAACGTGCAACATTGTTCTGAATCGCAAGGGGATCATTTGATGCGCGATGGCAACCACAACTCAAGAAAATATCGATAGACGTCTGGCGAGCAAAGTATCGCACCAGCCGTCATCGACTCCAATGCCTTGGATGCACCGTTCGATGGATGTATTCATCGTGTACGATTGTGCGATACTTGCACAATTCTGACTAGGCTTACAAACGCGCTGCCAAGTCATTTTCTTCCAGAGTTTCGAGCTTTTGTGGGCACCTACCAGAGGGGGACGGCACCACCATGCCGGCAGGCAGGCTCTCGAGACTTGGCGGCGCGGGATCCGTCTGGCTCATTGTTGTGCCGTTGGGAAAGGTCGCCTCTCCGACGACGAGCTGCTGAGGGAAGTGAAATGAGCCCCATCTGTCTCGAGGGCGCACAAACGGAAAGCTGCAAAGAGAAAAGGCTCCAAAGTTTCATGGCTGTTGACATGGCATGCCACCAATCTCGAATCTGGAAGGGGGGCAATATGGGGCACGTCTGCGTCAAATGTGTGAAGACTGTTCTAGTATGACATACATGGCACCATTACCAAGAGAACAGCAGCGTTGCAAGTTCTCTAGAACTAGCAGTTAGTTTCATGCCGCCAGGACGCGCACTAAGATCCTGGACAGTGAGTATGCAAACATTGGAATCGGGCTTATATGCAGAGCACAAGTACAGGCACACATGCAACCTCAAAAGTGCTGCGGCGACAACTCTCTGGCCAATGTTCTATCATGGTGAAACACACGTATCGTATTGCGATACACCCTTGCAGGGTGCTGGAAACACTCGAGTGTGTTGCAAATACAGACGTATAATACAGTTGTACGGCGAGAAAAGAAATCGCTTGTTACGCATACGACGACCAGACATACGCGCATTCCTCATCGCCTCGCGGACCCCAGCCGCTCACCTGTAGAACCTCCTCTCCGCGTCGCTCAGCCCCCGCACGATCCAGTTCTCGAAAATCTCCAAGAACCAGTGCCTTTCGAACACGTACTTCCACGCCTGCACCGTCCTCAGCTGGTCAAAAAAACCGCAGCACCCCGGAAAGGCCTCCCCAACCCCCCCCAGCGCACCCTCCCGCCAGACCTCCAGCGGCAGGTCGAACATCACGCACTCCAGGCAAACGAATCCCGCCACGTTGTCCGGCCGGCGGCCCAGGTAGCCTGCACCGATCCCACCGCCCCAGTCGTGGGCCACCAGGACCAGCTCCGGGCCCCCGTTTTGGGCCCCCAGGCCCAGCGCGTCCAGCAGGCCCTCCAGCTGGTCGACGTGGGATGAAATGCTGTAGTCGAAGGCGGTGGCGCCCGAGCCGTCGAAGTCGATCGGCGGCTTGTCGCTCCGGCCGAAGCCCACGTAGTCGGGGATGACCACCCGGGCGATGCCCGGCTGATCAGGCCCGTCGCAGGGGTCATCAAACTGCGGGAAATCTGAGGCGTTGCATCCCGCCAGACGCTTGGCCACGTTGCGCCACAGGTAGCCCCAGGTGGGCTGGCCGTGGAGCAGCACGAAGACGGGGGCGGGCACCGGGTGGCCCTGCCCGCCGATGTCGACATAGTGCATGCGGTGGCCGTTGATCTCGAGAAACTCGCCGGCATCGCCGTAGATCCACCGCTGCGAGGGGGGTAAGTCGGCCTGACAGATTGTGAGCCAGGGCGCCACGGAGGGGTCGCTGCAGTTGAGGCCGCCGCGCTGCGAGGCGCCCGGCGCCATGCATGATCCCAGCAGGAGTAACATCAGGGCGTAGGACGCGGCAAAAGGGTGCCCGCTGGCCGTGCTTGTCCTGCGGCTAACCGTGCGTCCAACAGCGCTGTGGGGCCCGAACTGGAGCATGGCTGTGGAGTTGTGCCTGGCCGTTGTGCCGAGCGTGAGTGGAAGGCTGGCCCCGGCAGAGCCGGGTCCCCACGTCGATGCTTTGTTCGCCGAGTGGTTGATCTGAGCGCTCTGCTGCGCGGGCTGAACCGAACGCGGGGGTTCCTGTGCGGATGAGTTCCGTTCACTTCAGTGCTACGTCAGGGTTGATTGCTTTAGGTTTCGATGTAAAATCTGTAGGTACGTGGCTGCTGTTGGTTGTGAGTGACTTAGGCAAACGAAAAGCCGTTCACATTTTAGTAACCCCGGAAACCGTAGCTTAGAGCCTCGCCCGTCTGTTGAAGTGCGGACGGCTAAGAGGATGACTGAATTGGAGATGAAACCGAGTACCTGTGATGGGATGTCACAATGCTCTACCAAAAACCAGGGGCAAGAAGAGGGCAGTCCACTCCCTTGAGTACAATTCCACCCAACCCTATACCCTATAAAATCTAAAACAACATAACAAGACCTAAGAAAGAAATCCATCAACCCTGAAACCTCAAACAAACCACGAAAATAACGAAATCACCGTACAGTAATATATTCAAACCTTCCGCAAAGTAATGTAACGCTGGGCCCTTTTTCGCGATAAATAAAAAAGTAATGTTGCCGGAGGGAAATGTGGGGCAGCCGCATTTAGTAACGCTCTGGGCGCGGCTTCGGGACGAGCTGCCCCGACACCTGGCAAGGCCCCTGGGCGACCGATCGGGAGGCAGGCAGGCGCCCGCCGCTTGCCACCCGGGCAGCTCGGGCCTCGAGCCGCGGGAAGCGATCTCAGGCATATGCTAGCACTATCGCGGAACGGACTTGCAGCCGATCGCGTCGCCCGGCCCGCCGCCGATTAGACACGCGAAGGTCCATCCCGCCTTGCGCCACCCTCTCGGCGCTCCCCGCCATCCGGCAGGCCCCTAGGCGGTCGATCGGCAGGCAGGCGCCCGCCGCTTGCCATCCGAGTGGCGGGAAGGGGGGGTCCGCTGGCGCCGAAGATGCCAACACGGAACCGCACCCACCGCCCCATAAGACTTGCGCTCGCCATGCTGGACCCTGCAAGCGGCCTCCGCAGGGGTCGCCCACCCCACCAGTCCATTTTCCGTTTCCATTTGCATGCCACCCGGCCACACCGGGTCGCTCCAACCTCCCAACCAATCTCCAACCAAACGGAAACAACAGCCCCGCCGCGGGCCACGATTCCTCGCCGATGGCCCGACGGACCTCGCCTTGCGTGGCGCAACTTCTGCCATTCATGTGCAGTGCTGCGCGACCGCATGTTTTCATACCCACCTCCGTTTCCTCGTCCGCTGAGTCAGTGGGCAGCCCGCTGTCCAGCCGCACCTCTCCTCGCGCGTCGCTGCTACTCTTTGGAACCGTCCCCTGAGCCGGGCGGCTGGTGTCGCGCGATGCATGGACGAACGAAGTTTGGCACGTTGCACCTCAAACTTGGGATACAACCTCCAGAGGCCTTCCTTCCTGTCCGACAATATGCGGAGCAAAAAACAGTAAAAGCAACGGTAAAAGTAACGTTCGGTCTTGGACGAAAATGCGGAGCAAAAACGTTGCGGTCGAGATGGACGGATGCGGAAGGGTCTTGTACTTTATGCCAGTAGCCCGACCCCGAGCGGAAGTCCTCCTACGCGGAGAAGAAATGCGTTTTGTAAATCCACGTCAGAATCGTTGCATGACAAGGAGGTTTTCCGACTCGGGTTCTGGGGTTTGCATCCCGGTCTTGGCGTGGCGGACGCGCTGCTGGAGGGTGGCCGACGAGAAGGGCGTGGCTATCGCTGTGGTGGCTGCGATGTATGCAGCCCGCTTGCGCTCCGGGCGCGCTTTCGCCGCGCGATCCCACGGCTTCGCGGAGGTCTCGAAGGTCAAAGCGGGGGTGGATGGGTGCGATGGCGACGGTGCGAGTGACACTCTCGCCGGGATGCGGAGCGCAACAGAGGCAGAGGTGCGGCTTTCTGCCGTCGAGTCCATGGGGTCCAACATCCGCCTGTGCTTGTCGCATGGCTTTTTGGTGCGATCGTGCGGGCGCGTGCGAGGCCGTGCAGCAATGGTGCCACTTCCGACCATCTAGAACGGCAAACCAAAACTTAAGTTGCCTTCCGCGTGTGGCTCTGCCGCAAAGCGGCTCTGGAGCCCCGCGATGGCGCTTAGCGATAGCCATTGGGCGCGGCGGTCGCTGCGCGGAAGGTAGTTGCCGCATAGTACGCCTTGCTGCCCAGGGCCCAAGGGGCTCAAGGGTGGCACAAGGGCGTTCAGTCGTTCAGTTGTGGGTCAAGAGGGAATGTCCCGATCGGGAAGGGGGCAACAAGTCCCCCATCCAAGGGGGGATTCCTTGGAGAAGGCAAGCCTAACAATCCTGCAATGGATTCTGGCGATTGTGGGGAATTCCACCGCTGAAAGCAGTAGGATCATGGGCGCCTCCGTGGAATTTTTAGAGGTGCGCTCAAGGGCGGCCGACGGGAGGGGCGCGGCTATCGCTGTCGTGGCTGCAGCGCTCGGTGCCCTCTTGCGCTCGACGTGCGTCTTCCGATGCAATGCCGCATCATTGCGGCGGCCAGAGCCGATGGCCGCAGCGGCGATGGCTCGCGTCCCAAGCCTCAGTGGTCAAAGTTGAAGCCCCCGACAAGAACTCCCCGTGTCGCAGAGCGGGAGCAACCTCGCGCGGCGGTGCTGTGCAGCCCTCGGCGTAGGGACGGTGGCAAGGCACATGGCAAAGAACGTAATGAGCAAATCGACAGGGAATGAAAAACATCAACAGCGCAGCAGTGCGGCCCAGCCTGGCCACCGAGTCAGTGGCTTTGAATAGATACCATAGGAACGGAAAAGTGCAGAGCATCAGGCCGAAGGCCCCACCTCTGGACGGGTAGAATGTATTACGGTATCAAAAGCCACCTCCATCGTGACGTAAGCTTGGACAGTTTTGGCCGCCTCCTTGCCCGTCGCTTGGCGCCAATTTGCCCAAGGCCGCCCAACCACACGCCTGTGCCCCCGCCCGCGCCGCGCCACGCCGCGCTATGCCGTCGCCCCTGTGCTTCCAGCGGGCGCCCACGGGCCGCGACGCGTGCCGCATCACCGGCGAGCAGATCCTCAAGGGCGAGTGGACCGTGGGCTTCAGGGGCTCCTGGTGGCATCAGGCCTCCGGCGGTTGGCAGGTAAGCTTTGTTGCAAAGAGAAAGAAACAGGTCATGCAGAGGGTACCTGCTGCTAAGCAAGTGTATGGCGGACTCTTTTCATGCTGTGAAAAGCTGATCTGGGGCCTCCTATGCGGAAGGATGGGAACACAACGCAAGCACGGTTGGCAGGTGAACGGCCACGCAGGGTGATCAGCCCCGGCACTGCGCACCCGGCGTGCGCTAGGACTTTTCGCGTGGTCTTCGTTTGTTCTGGTCTGGAAATGAAGGAGCAATGGCGGTATTGCGCAGCCGGTGTCGCCGTACGGGCGACCTTCGGTGTGTGTGGGGCGGGTGTTACCTTCCACCGCTTTCACCTTTCCGATCTCTGGAGGGCCGGCCTGCGTTGTTGTTTCCCGATGCCCGTGATCAGCTGGGTGCGTGCAGGACCGAGGGTTGCTCTGCATCGTCTTGTTATCTTTGTTTCCAATGGGCATTGGGCCAGGTGTCCGCCTTTCCTGCGCACCGTTTTCTGCACAACGGATTCTGGATGCGCTTCACGATTTCAGGCCGATCATTCGCGCTCATGGGCCGCTCATGTGCATCGGCGATTCCTGCCTGCCCACTCGCAACCATTCCCATGGCCTTGCTCCTACTTCAGCGGGCTCAGTTGATTCACTGCACAGTGGTTGCCCCAACTCAAGGTGACATGAACACTTGAACAACAGGGTAGACTGGCGATCCCCTGGTGCCCGTTTCTGGCCTTTGCAGTGATGCGGGTGTCGCTCCGCTAAATTGGCGTGCACGCCTCGCATTCAATGAAAAGCAGCAAAACAAAGCCTCTGTGCCTGCACAGTGATTTCAGGTATGATACCACAAGCAGGTTGCTCAATTACCATCTCCACTGACACTATATTTGAGGCGCATCACCAAAGTCCGTATTCTACCCTTTATGCTTTGTTGGTGACCTGCCCCACCTGCCCCTGTTTGCGTCGACCAGTGCTGTGCCTCAACTAAGTGTAGTGGTCTGTGGGTGCTCGATGATTAACACTCATCGTGCTGAACTGCACAAATTCTGCTCAATAGCAACCTGAAATTGAGGTTGGGCCGGTGCAATGAAAAGTCTTTTCTCTGTTACTGCAGAAACCATTGCCATTTCTGAAGGGCTGCCTCATCGAGTACAGTGCAAATGGGCAGGCAATCTGCAAGTCAACTGGGAAAAAGCTAGTGAAGGTGAGTGTGCACATGTTTTGTAGAAAGGGTTTTCTTTGGTTGTTTAAACGAACTTCATTTGAGCAGGCGGGTTGTGCTGTGACTGTGGCATCGCATTTTGCTGTGGCTTTCCATTCAAGGAGCTGCCACTGACACCGATTTATTGCCTGCCTTTCTGCTGCATTTTCCTTCATGGGACTTGTTGAAGTTCTGTGCAACTGTTTAAGTCTGGATTTGGGTGTCTTACTTTTCCTGACTTTTGTGACACATGTTGCCAACGATGTCCCTAAATCGCTGGGAGGCACATTGGCACTATTGATCGATCGATTGCATGGATGGTAGCAGTGGAAGCTTCCATGAGTTGACTAGGTTCTTAGGGAAGCTTGGCTTTCCATTTCTGCTACTCATCAATGACTTTGGCGCGCTGTTCAGAGTGGACTCAACTCAATGCCCAACTTGTCCCATTACATCCAGCCTTGTGACTCCCATCCGAGTCCATTTTACCCTACTTCATAGACTTGGCCTTCATGGCCACAGTGGCAGCCAGAATGTGGCCCCAGCAGAACCAGTGTACACCGATCTTCTATTGTCTTGCAAGGGCTGCACCAATCCTTAATGATATCCCTTTGAACGCTGTTTACACCTTCCTTGTATTGCCAGGGCGAGCCCCGCTTCGTGTGCAAAAATGGCTCCAACAAAGTGTACCTCTCGCTCGATGCCGCTGCCAAGCTGCTGCGACCCATCATAGCCTCAGTGCAGCAATCGTTTCAGGTGTCCCAGTTTGAGGGTCTGGACCTGCTGGCCCAGCCTGACAGGGAAGCGGTCTTCAGGTCTTTTGATGCCTGCTCTGAGGGTGATGTGGGCATGGGGGCTACCACGCCTGGGCCGAGCGAGCCCTCTGAAGACATCGGATTTGGCAGTGCAAGGAAAAGGCAGAAGTTGGTACGTTGTGACATCTTCACACATGCCACGTGCTGAGATTGGTTGCCAGCGTTCCTGGCTCCAATGAATCATGCACAGGGGGGAACAGGTGTGCCTGCTCGTTTGGGCAGCTTGCACAATCCTATCAACTGTTTTGATATTGATGGGGCACTGCGATCAGAAAGGAATGCACCAGAATCTTGATTTCCCTGTGGATGGGAAGGAATGTGTGAATGTTTGACCTGAAAAGCAGCACTCTACAACAAATTTATCAGGTCATGTGCCTACATAAGAAGATTTTGTCTTCAATGTGAGCTGCATGATCACTCTTCATCTCCATTTTCACGACACGAGGAGTAGTTTGCAACCCAGCTGGCGGAAAGGAGAATTCGAAAATGAAAGTGTGGTGTGCATTTCGTTTCATCCTGGCCTTCAACGCTGCAAAAGACAATGAGGCAACAATTTAAAGCGATGCTGCCACAGTATGCAATGCCCACAGTATGCAGTTGATATGATGAGTGTCTTTTGTTTCTGACATCAAGGTGGACCAAGGAACCATGGAAGGCATTCTGACAGTATCTGGCAACGGTAAGCCCACACAACCCCAACTGACAGACTTTGAGAAACAACGGATGGCCCAAATCGAGCGCAACAGGCAGGTGCTCAGCTCCCTCAAGACGCCCTTCATGGAGGCTATCTTGAAGCCTCAGCCGCGCCCCACACCAAAAAGGAAATCGCTGACCAAGCCGCTGCCTCCCCCACCATCCCGCAGGTGGGTAGGGACGACAGAACAAACTGTTTGGAATCAGCAATGTGTATGGAATTGTGATCTCATTGCAGAGTAGGAGCAGGAGCAATGCTTTTCACGTTTTGGCAGAGATGGTCAATAACACACAAGGTTGGTGCCACAGTTAGCAAGATGCACATTTCATGAACTGCACAGTTGTCAGAATAGCCATGATACATTTTTGGCAGAGGTACTAAAACAAATGGACTCTTGCAGATCTCTACGACAGCAAGGCAAGTCCCCCTATGGGTCGTCTGCCAGGGACGCCGACATAGAAAACGTCGCTCCCGACACGGGGTCCACCCCTGAGCAGGACAGCACCAGGCCCCGCCATCAGCCTGGGGACATCGACTTCAAGTGCCTGGAGGAGCAGCCAAAGTCTGATGCCAGTTTCTTGAGGCTCCTTTCCAGCGGGTCCACAGGATCAGTCGGGCCTGAGGGACCAGAGGCTGCAATGGAGCCCAAGGGGCATAAGGTGACAGTGGGGGAACTGACTTTGAGGGAGGAGGATGTGGTCAAGGTCACACCAACGGCAGTCGTACTTTTGGGGTTCCAGGATCGTGGCGACGAGCTCGTGGTCGCAGGGGGCGACAAGACAGGTCATGTTGGGCTGTGGCATCTACGGTCGGGGAGAGGTGGACAAAGGGGGCTGGCCCAGCAAGGTGTGTGCTGTTTGGTGTGAAGAGTGTGCTGTTGTGCAACGGAAATTTTGAGGGCAAGAGGTACGACCCAAAAACCCAAAGACACAATGCACGCTAGCATTCGCTTAACATTAGGCAGGTGAAAGGAGTGGTACAAAGTGGGCCAGTCAACCTTGCTTGAAATTAGCGCGACTGGGCCACATAATACTTGGTCATCCAGTGTGGTGAAGTCATTATATTTATGCCCTCTCAGCTGACCTTCCCTTCCAGCCACCTGCAAACACCACCACCACCTATGTAATCTGCATCAAACTTGCACTCTGCCAGCATCCAATTCCTGCTCCCTAGAAGCATTTCTGGGGGATACCACACATTGTCCTCCTGCCTTTCTAACTGCAGACCCCAAAGGATATTCAATTCCCATAGATCGCTGCCCTCTTGTGCCATTGCCTCTGCTACAGTTACCTGAACGTGATTTCATTCTTCCACAGACAATACACTCCCCTTGCACATCCAAGGTGGCAGAGGGACTTGACATCCGGATTGCGTGGCATCCACAACTGACAAGTACTCTGTGCAGTGTATCTGACTATCTGCAGAACCTCCATCTTTTAAAATTCGGAAGTGCAGGATGCATGGCTTTGACCACTGCTTTGTGTCCGTGCTGGCCTACGTTGCTGCAAACAGACAACACCATGGAAGGCACAGACGACGACAGTGATCTGTTGACTTTTGCACCCCACTCCCAGATGCTGAGCGGCCTCAAATGGGCCGGTGGCAGAGGACAAGCATCATGCCTATTTACTGCAAGCTACGATGGATCGGTGAGTGAATGGATTGACCAACTTTTGTTGAGGTCCGCCTTGCCTGCACTTGTCTTTTCAGGGCAGAGCGGTGCCCTCTGCCTTTCAGGTGGTAAAAGAGCGCAACTGAATTGATTGTAAATGTGAATTATCAAGAAAAACAAAACTGAAGAAAGTAACGTCTGTATAGAAGTGCCACATTGCTTATTTTTGAACAGAAATATAAAATGTGTGAAAGTTTCTGCAATGCACCAGCCAAACACCTCCAGTGATTGCTATTGTCTGGTGCTGTGTGTGTGTGTGTGTGTATATGTGTGCGCCCAGCCTTCATGTTACTGCTTGGTTGGTTTCTCCTGTGTCTGTATTACAATGGAAACGCCTTGTCGAACATGTGATATGTGCTTGCCTGGCATGGTCTTGGTCCTGCTGCTGCTGCTGCCTGATATGACTTCTGTAGATAAACCAGTGTCCCCTTCAGTGGTCTCTACTGCTTGCGCCTGTTTTCAATGCCCTGAGATGCCACCACTTGGTGTTTCATTGTTCATGATACCGATGAATATATATGCAAGAATGAAATTTCCTGTTCAGTTTTAATGCTGAACAATTTGCACATAAATTATTTGCCTTGTGCTGCTTTTCACCAGGTTCGCAGGCTCGATGCCGGTGTCGGTCGGTGGCTTCTGTCTTACTCTTCTGCTGAATCTGAGTACTCAGCGTTCGAATGCAGCACTGATGGTCAGACGGGATACCTTGCCGACAAGGACGTGAGTCGCAAACTGGATGTCAAAACCCCTGCATCATTTACTGACAACTGACAGAGCAGTGCCTTGGGACCTGCAAGGCGTGCTCAGGCGAATGTCCATGCACTGAATGTCCATGATTGCCAGCTCAGCTAGAGTGCGAAATTAAGACAAACTTGTTGCGAGGTAAAAGGATTGTGGCAAAGTGCAGCCTCACAGGTATGAAAAGACGCCCTGTGCAGGCGAAGGTCGCTGCAGACTTGGAATGGTTTGTGAGCATACAATGAAAACAACGGAAGAAAACCTGCTGCATTTGAAACCTCAGTTTATGATGGTCGGATCTTAAGGCAATCCGGATTGCTGGCCAACCGTTCAGTTTGATCCCTGATGAGCTTTACCACAGTACTAAATGTCCATTGATATTCGTCAGTCCATTGAATTGGGTTTGAAATAGCAGAACTTCAAATGGCTGTCTGGCTGATATGAACACAACTGTTGTATTTTTGTCCCCAGCAAGGGGGTGGGTGGGGATACAACTTGGAAGTTCCACTGCCTTATCTGTGTCGTGTCCTTGCCTGTGCCATGGTGCAGGGCTTCCTCGAGATCGTGGACATGCGCACGGGCAGTGTTGCACAAAGCTGTCGGTTGCATGGCAAGAAGGTGAATGCTCTGGAGGTGGACCCTGCGGGAAAGGGGCTGCTGGTGTCTGCCTCCACTGACGCCACTGTGAGTGTGTGGGATGTGCGGGCGCTGGGAAGCACGCCAGAGGCGCTGGCCACGTTGAGACACCTCAAGTCATGCCACGGGGCGCGCTTTTGCCCCTCAGGTGTGGAAATCTGTTTTGGCTGTCATTCAAGAAAGCGCAAAGTGGCCTCCTTTGGTGTGTGAGTCCAGGTGCAAAACCTTTCTGATTGAATGCGCCTTAACACAGCGGGGCTGTGGGTTGAAAATGATTACAATGAGGGTCTTGAAGCACCTGCATGCTTTGTTCTATTTGGTGTTGAGCTGAGGCTGCGATGCACAACTTGATTTTTTTTATAGGGGAATGTAAGGAGTGCCAGGTCTTTGAGCAAGGATGCGCGCTTGAATATCCAAATTGTGCACCTATTCTCCAACGGTTCACAGATCCAGGGGCTGATTGTTAAAAGGCGTTTATTTGCTGCCCCTGGAGATTTTTCTGCTGCAGAGAGTTCACTGCGATTGTGCAGAGAGAAGGAATATGCAAGACGAGTGGAATCCTTGGGAAAGTTGTGATATTCGTTTACACACAAAAAGTCATTTTAGAAACCTAGGAAAGTAGAGTAGTAGAGTTGTATTGCACAACAGCAAGCATCCAACAACGGACGATGGATATATGGGCACAGCGCTGGAGTACCATGTCCAGCTGTAGCAGTCATTTTATTTGCGCTTTGGGTCCCGTAGGCTGCTTTCGAATGGCACGATCGCAGTGTGTCATACTTGTCATCGATTTAACGGTGCAAAGGCAGTTCTTAACAAATGTACGCAAAGTGCTGCTAACGTCTTTCCATTGTGGTGCTCAATGGTTTGGTTGTCCTCTGCAATTTTTGGTCCGTTGAGCTTCTGGGCACTGTGTAGCAGCCGTCTTGGTGTTGTGTCCTTTGGTAATTTTGGCATGCTGTGCGCACAGGTGCCAGCAAAGTCGTGACGACCAGCTTTGACGACACGCTGGCTATCTGGGATTTTGGCACTGACGCGCGGGTCAGCATTCGCCACAACAACAACACAGGGAGGTGGTTGTCACCGTTCAAGGCCCTGTGGGACTGGTGCGGGGACAACGTGCTGGTGGGAGGCATGATGCGAACGGTGCGTGTTGTCGATCCAGCATGTTCCATCACATTTTGTGACATTGGTCAGTCCTCTGCCCTATTGAAAGATATGGCCCGTTGTCCACCTTCCCAGATGTAAGGCGATGCAAGGCTTCAGAAAAGAATCGCTGCAAGCTGAAGGTTGCAAGAACAAGGGTCCAGCGGTGCTGCCAAAGCATCCCCCAAAGGGAGTGCCAAACCAAGCATACCACAAATTTCGATTGTCCAGAACTGACTTGATTGGAATGGATAAACAACGCTCTCAACGCCCTTCGGCATCCGAATGCATGGATTTCCATCATTTGTAGTTGTCATGCCTCCGTCCAGTGCGAGTGCATAGCCAAATTCTCCTGCAGTCCCTACATTTATTCCATGAATGAGTCTGGCATGGTCGAATTGAGCACAATGTGCACAGCCAGATGCAACTGGTTTACATTTGTCGATGTTTTAAGTCCAGCGATGTTCCGCGTTTAGCTTCCTGTTTGCAGTTTGATTGTGTATTCATGCTACTGCTCATGATGTCCAACAGGTGGACATGTACGACAGTGCCGGCAAGCCATCAGGACAGCTTTCAAGCGAACACATGTCCGCTATACCTTGCCGCATGTGCACACACCCACAGCACCCCGTTCTGGCCACTGCCACAGGGAGTGGTCGAATCCATGTGTTTCAACGACAACAGTGAAGCACAGAGCACAGGCTCCAGCCCATGGGTCCTGATGACGAAGGAACCATGTGAGGCTAAGGGCGCCTTTAGTCAACATGTGCAAGTGTGGCGTCCACTACACTGGCTGCCATTGCTGCCATGCAGTGCCGCTGTTGTGGCAGCAGATCTGTCAGAAAAAACCCACATGGGATGCCAATTAGTGTGCTATGTGACAGAAACGTTTGTGTCATACAGTGTTTCCCCCCTTATCGAGCAAGACTTCAAGAGGGATTGTTTGCCAAGCTGTAGAAGATGGTGATGAGCATCTGCTGTCAGCAGGAATAGCATGCAGCACTGACAACGATGTGTCTGCACTTCTTGTCCTGCCCGCGTTGCCACTGTTGTGTGTATTCCCTTCCTCCGCCTCTGCTGCTTCCTGTCCCCCTCGATGTGCCCGTATTCTCTGGATTTGAGACAACCTGGACTAGGAGGTCGCAGATTGTGCATGTTCTAACCTTGCTTGCCACAGCCCCTCTGTTCCTGGAGTCACACTCCTGTTATCTGGTATTTCATTAAGCAAGTAGCGTAGAGAACGGGGGCCAACGCCCCCTGCGTGATCATTTCCGTCCGTGTCAGTAACGCGGGGGGCGTTATCTAGAGTAACCCCCGTGTTGCCCAGCGTTCCCCCGTGGTATGCAACACTCGAGGCACAATGCCCCCCGTCCAAGGAACTCGTGGAGCGCCACTCTCCCAACCATATGCTGGTGGTGCTTGACACCACTTTGTGCACCTTGTACCATCCATCGCATTAGGCACGCCTAACTCCTTAGTTCTCTTGCCTATCTGTTGGATGGCACGGACTTTGATGCTAGTAGCATGTTTGATTCAGATGACATAGGGAATATGGTTGAAGATTAGGAACGCTGGAGTAGGGGTTAATCAAGTTTCAATAGGTCCGTCAAGGTTGGACGAGGTAGATTGCCAGCTTCCCGGGCTGTTTTTTCCAGAGCAGCGTGCTCTTATTGGTCAAGCTCGGGTTGAGTGTAGTTAAGGGGCACACTGAGTGTGTGAGCGCCCCATTTCCACGAAACTTTACTGCCAACACCCCCAACAGGGAAATGACAAAAGGCGGCGTCGCCCCTAGTAGGACCACGGCGCTGGACCAGTGCTGGATTGGTGGAGGACCGGCAACGCGTTCGACGTACGAGGGGGGCTCAGAGGAACCCCTTTTGTCGTTTGCGCCCCCACAGAGGCCCCCCTTTTGTCACAATATCATGAAAGGACCCCGCCTGTCGTTTTCCCCTGAAACAACGACTCCTTGGGCCCCCCTTTTACTGGTGTTTTTATTGTTCTTTGCGACGGCTTGGAACTAAAGGGTGAGAAGCAAGGTGCCCTTCAAAGCCCGGCCAATGCCACACGTGTTGGTCCCACTTTTTTCTCATACCACAATAGTATTGCGCGATTTCGGCAAATTGTCATAGGTAATACGCACACCAAAACACGTGGACACAAATTGTGTCAAATCGCATAATTTCTTGCTTATGTACAAGACAAACGGCTTACATTTGGCACACCACAGGCATGTGCTACAATGCCAGATCACAACAATCCACTGTCAAGCTTCTTGAGCAAGGGCAAGTTTATCCGCACATGTTCGCAGGCCATGCCTGTGATCTTTGTGCATCCTCTAATGTCCAGGTATTCCAGGCTCGTCAGCGCAACGATGTGTTCAATTGCAGAGTCAGAAACGCCATCGCAACCACCCAAGACTAGAGAAGTCAATGAATGAAGTCCAGTCAAGTGCTGCAAGCCCATAACAGTGATTGCAAAGCATGTGCTGAGGCTCAGGTGTTCCAAGCTCGTCACTGCAGCAAAGTGCTTCACTGCAAAGTCAGAAATGTTGCACCCATCCAAGACAAGCGAAGTCAGAGAATGCAGCCTGCCCAAGCCCTCAAACTGGATATCTGTGATTCTGCATCCCCTCAGACTTAGGTGCTTCAGGGTGGTCACTAAAGCAACATGCTCCATAGCAGCGTCGGAAATGCCGATGCAACAATCCAAGACCAGTGAAGTCAGGGAACGGAAATCGCACAGGCGCTGCAAGCCCGCACCTGCAATATTGAAGCAGTGTTGCAGGCTCAAGCATTCAAGGGACGTCAGCACAGTGACATGCTCCACTGAAGCGTCAGAAATGCCGCTGCAAGAGTCTAGGACCAGCATAGTCAGGGAATGTAGGTTCTCACAGTGCTGAAAACCCGCACAAGTGACTCCTGGACACTCTGCAAGGTTTAAGTACGAAAGGCCATTCAGCACAGCAACTTGCTTCATTCCAGAGTCAGAGATGCCTGGGCAACCATCCATCTGCAGGGAAGTCAAGGAATGCAGCTCCCCCAAATGCTGTAAACCTGCATCTGTTATGCCCGACAAATGCCCAATGTCAAGATAATCGAGACTTGTCAATTTCCCAACATACTTCAAACCCTCACTTGATATCTTTGCGCAACCTCGCACGCACAGGCGTCTGAGGGCCCCAACTCAGCAAGGTGTCTCAGACCCTCATCTGTAATATTGCACAAGATGTCATAATAGACATATTTTTGATTGACAAAAGACAAATCCAAATGTTTCAGTGTTGTCAGCTTGCCAACCCACTCAATAGCCGCATCTCTTACACCATTGCAGTTGCGCATCTCCAGATGTCGAAGACCTGTTAGGCCTGTAAGATGCCTCATGCCATCCTGGGACCCCTCAATGCCAACGCAATTGTTCAGCCCCAAGTGCTTGAGACCTGTAAGTTCTCCCAAATACGCCAGTCCCTTTTCTGTAACCGTGAAGGTGTGGTCAATGTAATCATCCATGTCCACACAGACGTCGAAGCGGGTGAGGCCATTGAGATTCTTCAGAAACTTCAAATCCTCATCATCAACTCCATGATAGCCCAAATCCAAGTGTGCCAGTTGGAACAAGCCAGCAAGCACCTCCCAGTCATCCTCTCCAATGTTGTAATTCATAAGGCTCAGCCCTCGCACACCTGAAAATTTCCTCTTGATCGTGTCCACCATCTGCTGCAAAGGCAGTCCCCAGTGAAGGTCCAAGAATGTGATTGGCCCCGTTGCCCAATACCCCCAATGCTTGTTCACAAGCCGTGCAGCCTTGAACATGGGGTTCCTGTCATGTCTTTCACTTTTGTCTTCTCCCACTGCCCGTTTGAGCACCTCCAAGATCGCCAGTGGCAAATGGCCCCAATCTGCTCCTTGAAGTCCTCCACTCTTGAGGTATAGACACAAATTGATGAATGAATCGTATGTGAGCTTCAGCAGGGTCATAATCTGGGTGTTGCTCACAACACCACATCACTGCTTAAAAGAGCTACAGTACTGCCTTGAACCTGACTGCATTGAAGCTACGACCCGTAACTATTCAAGAACAAACATGCAGCACAATGCTGTGTCGAAAACCACCCACTGTTGTGTTGCGAGTTGATGGGTAACGCTTTGCCAAATCGTGATGAATAAGGAGTGAGTCGCAAAGTTATCATGGTGTATTTGGACTGGATGAGCCTATGCAGCAAAGTGTCTGGCTTCATTGCATGTGGTGCAGTTCGTTACCTTGCCTTGGCAGCTGCGTTGCTACACTTGCAAGCAGATATCCTAGCTGTGGACACTGCTACAAGCTATCCATCGTGGTGCTTAAGCTAATTTGAATTGCTTACAGCATACTTCGAAGCACAACACAATAGTTATGCAGCACTCCTACCGTGCATTGTGATTGGAGTGGTGGTTGCCTGTATTGTGGTGTGGCATTGTTGGAGTATTTCCTTTTATCTGGAAAATCACAACAAAAGCAGCAGTCCAGGGACTGTTGTGGGCCTGTACCCAAAGACATGTGGACCCTTTGCCACATCACATGCAGTGCTAGGGGATGTAAATCTCAAAAAGATTGCTGCCACCAAATTAAATGTTCAGTATCAGAGAAGAATGTTTGGCATGCAGGGGGGGAAGAGGGGCAGATCAGAACCACAGTGAGTTGCATTGGTCTGTTTGCTACAATGGTCCTAATCGAGAGAACTTAGACAATGCACACAAATCTAATTTAAATTAGATTTAGAAAATGCCAAGACGTCCTTGGCAAATCCTTGCGTCCCAGGCAAAAATCCAGCTTACCAATCCCAGCTCCACAAATACAATCCCATATCCTTATGGATGACATGAGTTCCTTCACAATATTCAAAAATCGCCGTGTGGCCTGAAAATGAAACACTCACAACGACTGCCCATCTCAAATTCCCTTCACCTCCAGAACCACAGATTCCAATGCTATCCAGTTAAAATATGGAGCCATACGCACTGCTCGCAAAAATACAGCAACAAAACTCCTCAGCAAGATCAACTGAAAATCTCAAGCGTAGGATCCTGACACAAAGGGTGAGTTGTGAATTGCCATTTGAGGGCTAGCCGCTTTGGGGTGTGGCAGAACTGTGGACACTGAAAGAGGCGATGTTCTTTATTGTCGATGGAAGAAGGCACCAATCACACCCGAGGCCATCTCTCTCAAAGTTAACAAGCAGTCTATCTGCAGGGCTCTGATCAGACAGGAGTTGTCACCAGGGCAGGATCTTGGCAAAAGTGGCCTTGCTCCGATCCAAAGACTAAGAGAATGCAGCAAACCACTAAACAAGGTACAGCACCTGGACTGTTGCCCCACAGAGTCTCAAATTGAGAAGCTCGACAACACAGGGATTTCGACATAGTGGCGCACAACAAAATGGGATACAGATTAGCAAGGCGACCGGATCAACTTGCACCACAGGCTTTGTGGTGTTGCGATCGTATTTTCTCATAGTCTGAAGCACTGTGTTCGTAGGATGACGAGCTTGTCAGAGGAACAGTGAGAGGGTATGTCTGCCCAGGCCAGCTGGCTATTCATGTGTGTCTCAAGTTCAGCTCAACCCAGAGTATTAAGTGCCACAAAGTATGCAGCAATATGAATACTGTGGTTCCAAGCACAAATTCTCGAAGTATGTTGGGGAGTGCCCAATT